GCATCCCTGGGTTCTGGGACAGTATGTCTCATGGATGGTGAGAGCTGGTGATACACAAAAAAACAAACAGTTGCAACTCCTCAGCTTAGGAATTAAAATGGTTTTTCAGCATCATTTGACATAAGGAACAAAGTCATTGTATACAGCAGCAAGAGAGGGCAGACTGTACCAGAATGTGGCACCATCAGGCCTACACACTGAGGGCTGAACAAAGATGCGTGCTTGTTTAATCTGGCAACAAATCGGCAGGGATGAAACGGCTTCCTGAGAAGAGTGGATAAAAAAAGCAAATGAAGGAAGAATTTCAAGTAAAGCTGATGAATATTTCAGGAGAGAGAGAATGAGTTGGAAGCATGAGGATGCTGACGCTTCCCACAGCCAACAAGACTCTGCAGGCTAAAAATAGTACAGACTCTACTGCAATACAGATAGAAAGCTTTTAGGTATGATGTCGGTGAAGTAAGTGTGAGATGCATGTTTTGGCCATGGTTACCATACAGGTAAAGGACAAGCACATGCCTTGTTAGGATCTTGGGGAGATGGAAAACACAGGCCGCTCTTATTAGACTTCATACTGTTCACAAACAGGAGGCAGCAAGATGCCACGCTGATAGTGTTAATGCTGACTGAACATATTCCTAAAACATTCAAAGTATCTCTGCACCAATCTTATCGGTACTGTCAGGCCAGAAAACACAACCAGACATCTATGGAGGGGTGGCAGTCAAGAGAATATCAGAAGGAACTTCAGTATGAAGTATGAAGCATGGTGGTTCATTCTTCAAAAGCTGGCACTCCGAGAGCTTTTCCTCTAAGGACATGTGGCGTAATATTTTGGGTTCTGTAAATACTCAATCTATCCTTCGAAAAGTGAGATATTTCATATTTCAGAAATAAGTCATGTTTATAACTATTCCTCTGGAATACATTAAACAATAACACAAAGATTTCTGGTTTTCATCTGACTAGCCAGGCCCAACCTGACACCCTCTGCACTAGGCCTGTCACAATTATTACATAATTGCCTGATCACGATTATTTGAGCTGACTGTGATTATTTTGCATAATTGCTACTTGCTAGAACTGTCTCCATTCATCTGTATAAAAATAGCTGGATGAGACAGAACTGTCATATTTCTATTACTATTTCCACGTTGTTGTCTACCATGTAGGCCTAATATCTGACTGGTACTCGTTTAATGACATAATCTCGTTGTGTTTCTGAACCACCTGCCCAATTCTTACCTTGCAAGTCTGCGCAAGCTGATGCGCAACATTATACTTCACAGCAAATTTTACAGCGGTGCCCGATTTGTACCACTTCGTTTCACAACATTTTCATGACCCAACCTGATCCCGTAAATATTTCTTTTCACTATATCGGGTTCATTTTACAGGCTGCTTCTGAGTAATCGCCACCAGCCCAGAATGAGATATTCAGCCAGATATTCTGATTTTGGATGCTTTGTATTTGGTTTGCCTGAGTGTGTGTTTATGGGTCTCATTACGGTGGGATGACTGTATATGTCCCTGACAGCTGCCACTATCATGCTGTAACCAAGTCAGTATAGGATATTTAGGTAATAGTGTTGATCCAAAAACTGGAAAGACAACTGGAGTGCACACTTAAAATGACAAACAAAGAAAATGGATTGTTTTTAAGTAAACAGAATTATTAACACCAGAGCCCTGTATCATGTTTCTCAAAGCCAGATTTCTTGCTTAGCTGGATAACTTGTCAGATTTAAGGTACCCCAGTTTAAATGGATTTTATCTTCCTTCACTTGAATTTACCCTAGACTACCTTAATTCCAATATGTTACCTGGTTTCGTTTGCTGTACATGTAGACAATATGGTTTGCCGTAAAATGGTAGGATGAACAGATCGTGGTGCAGACCTGCGAGGTAAAATCGGGTACGTCGTACGGATCGGGTAGTGACAACACTAACTATTTATCTCGGAGTGTTTAACTTCTTATTTGTTAAAGTCCTATCGGCCCTTAAAAGGCAAATGTTATTTTTATTTAAATGTTCCAATGTTCAATATTCAGTTCTTCATAAGATGTATATGTACTATCGAACCATGATTAGATTACCTCTAAGCTGATTATGTTATAAAATGAACAGAAAAAGACAATTCATTAATCGCAATTATTTGTATGACGATTAATGGTCAACTGATATTTCATGATCGTGACAGCCGTACTCTCTACGGTTCTCCAAGCATACATCCCGCTATAGTAACTACAAACTGCATTTCTTATACAGCTGGATAATCCACATAAGCAATACACCTTTAGGCATTTCTCAGGGGTAAGAGCAGACCTGATATTTATACCTAAGTCCTTAATTATACCACTTGCTGCCCAGTGATCCACACAACTACATGGCTTTCAAAGATAACTACAGCAACCAACAGCATGAACAAAACCATCATCCAGGATTATATTCACATTTGTATTCCTGATCCTCTGTTGCTATCATATGTACTCAGAAGGTATTAATTAAGAACAACAGTGGAATACCAAAGTCTCAATTAAAAACCTCATTTCTAATTCAAATCAGGTTAGGGTGAATTTATTTTGGTGCGCCCCATGAAGTATGAATATTCATTCAGATTTCAAAGGCTGTTTAAAGGCTAATGGCAAATGCAAGTCAAAATTAAACCAAATTCAAGAATAGGGAATAAATGCAACATCTAACAGCAAGAAAACTTCCATGTAATTGTTAGAGTTTAAAGCACTGACCTAAACCTTGTGTGGTCCATAATTCAAGGCTTTAAACCTGCCCTTACTTTGACCTGTATCTGTAACCAAAACTATTTACAATGTTACATATACATCAACAGCAAGGGCTTTGCCAAGAATCCCTCATGAAAACACTACTAAAGATGGCCACTAACCTACATACCATTATGACATGTTAGCAATTCAGAAGATAGAGCTTTTACTTGGTTGTAAAATAAAATAGTCGGATACTTTCATTTTGATCAACATTTCTGAAAAGCCACATTTCACAAAAAGCCATAGATGTTATCTTAATTTTTAGTCAAAGAATTGCTCATTGTTCCATTACAACTGGCTCAAATAACCTCAATTCCACAGTACTAGTAGCCCCATTTAAATCAATATAAATTAAGCAAGAAACTCTAATGAAACAGAAAAGAATCAAGAAAATCCAATAGTTCTTCTTGTGAGCCAATATATGATTATTTAAAAAATACTCACAATTATGGTGACAGCCAAAGGCAATATGGGTGTGATTCAAACAATTCTCAAAATGAAGAAAAAAATAATGAGATCACATGGCATTTTTTAGACACAATAAATTCCAAGTGTAGTGCAAGTTCAAGATCAGCAATGTCATGTTCGCCCCAGGGGATTTCAGTTGATACCAATCAGTTTCTGAGAAGTCAAATGAAGACTCTGCAAATTCAAATCAAACTATTTGACTCTGACACATTACAGCACCAGCAGGTTCCCACACGGCTAAAGTTGTGGTACTGCGTTCAAGCACAAACTCACCATCATCACCCGAACTGCTCCTGTGCTAAAAGCCTCCCTGTTCATCAACAGCAAGTGGGAACCTAACCATGCATTTCAAATTCTCTTTAAGACTCCTGACTTTGCTTCAGGCACCTGTCCTCACGCCCACTCCTGCACCTTACTCGAAGACGGCTGATACTACTGGGGACTCACTTCAGGAAAATGTCAATCATCTGCATCTGTCACATTCTGCACCAGGTCATACACACTCTGGATGTAAGGTTTTGTCTTTCCTCATTCTGACACTTTGTCTCAAGTTACAGTCTGCTGAAATGATGTGGGCCAGGAAGAGGGCACGCAGCAAGAGGATAAATTCAGCTGAAACACTCAGTGGGATAAATTATTTAAGCTAAAGCACTTCAGAATCCATACAAGCATAATACAATTTACTCCTTCCAATACCTGACATACACTGTAGCTACACATAGGCAGAAAAACCTAATTATAGTTATCAATTAAAGCTGGGGCTATGCTATAGTTACCATATACTGTTGTAGCGTTTGTTTGAATGCTTGAACCTCCAGGGAAATAGTTTTTTTTTTCCTCAGTGCAAACAAATGCGCTCCCTCTAAAGTAAACGTGATGCTTTAAGCAGTCAGAAAGGCACAAGGCAGCACACACCCGCCCGGACTTTGCGCTGCGGGCTGAAATGTGCCGACCATCACGTCCTTGTGAGTAAACGTTTTGCCAGTCCACACCCTGGTAGGGATTAACTAGTATCTGGGAGGAAACTTTCAGAAGAGAGAGTTGGCACCGAACACGGTCGACGTAGCGTTTCCATTTCAGTATAAGAAAGGACGACAGATAAGCTATTTTTGAAACTATTTTACAGTCCGCTGTCTACATAAGACTCGACATGTATAAATCATGTCATCAACAGCTTAAATTACACGACAGCATGGTACATCATGACCACAGCTTCCACTCAGCAACCCATCAGTGATGCACTGTCAGCATAAATAACCCGTTTTGTGGGGGTCCGTGAAACCAGACAAAGTGTCCCTACCAAAAATCTCAGAAAGTCGCCAGCTGGCTGTATCTACTGAAGTGAAGTTAATGCTCAGTTTCCCCGCACAGCCAAGCACTTTAGAGGGAGACGCAGCGCAGGATACTGGGCGGCTGCGGGCTAAATTAGCCGAACAGGCTAATGGTGACGGAGCCGTAAACGATGGCAGTAATGACATTAATGAAGAGAGCGAACGATGGTAACGCCGACCGTAATGTCGGTATTTCGCCTGTAAATTTTAAGGCAGCGAAGACGAATGCAGACGCATGAATGGCTAACCAGCTAGTTATGCAACCACGCAATTTCAGGCGGATATTGAGAACTAGTGGGATTTAAGTTTTTCGCAAGTCGCGCATAACTTCAGGGACCGTCGGTGTCAGAGGACGAGCCGAAATGGTCATGCAGAGCCGGGTTTGGCCGTCATTAAGGCTCTCCTCATCAGACGTTACCTGTAGACGCAGTCTCCATGGCGACGGGCCCCCCTAGCCCAGCGCCTTCCACTTGCCGCCGTCCTGTCGCCTGGTCCCTGGGTGGGCTGGGAGGCCACGCTTCGCTTCCCGGCGGGGCACTCCCTAGGAACCCGGGATTCTCTTCGCCGGGCTTAGCGGACATAGCTCTGGGTCAGGGTTTCGGTTCGGTTCGGTTCGGCTTGAAACGTGTGGCTCTTCAAACGGACTCCGTGCGAACGGCGCGCGTGTCGGCGGTGACGTCACCGCTGGGCGGCTCGCGGCGGAGCGTGACGTCCCCTGTTAACCGGGGGGCAAGGGACTAGGGGCTTACCGTGATTTGTCCCTGCTGGCCTGGGAGTGACAGGAGTGCTACCGTTAAACTCCACTGTCGCTGAGATATATATATATACAGCCCAGAAAAATAATTTAGACATTATATACAACATACAAGCTCACGCCTGCATCTGTATTCAGTTACTTCATTGATAAAAAAAAACATATGAATTACTACGACTTCTAAAATGATGGTGTGAACTACATACTTTTACCAGCTTCGGATTCCCGTTTTCCGCATTCTTGCCATACTATGATATATATCTTATATAGTTACATGTTATATAGTGGTTAAATCAGACAAAAGGCATTTTCGGGACCCCGGCATTTCATGGGAATGGGGGCAGGAGGTAGTCCTAGGACTGGGTACTAAAAAGACACTGCTGCGCCCTCTGCTGGTTAATGAAGACAGAGTACATTTTAAGTATTTTTAACGCCCTTTAAATTCCAAGATGGCTCCCTGGAAACAGGACGCACACTTCCTTAGAAACAGAAAACTTAAACTAAACGCCGCTGCGGAAATGGTATAACGCATCATCCACATGTAAAGAGGTTCACTTTTTTTGGAAAACAGGCGAAGACCACATCGAGACAGGTGAGACATGTAAGAAACTTCCACAAGAACTCTGCAGACAGTTTCTGTTGGCTATCTGGTTAACTGAAGGGGAGGACTTGAAATAACTTAATTGTCTTAACTTAAGAATAAATGTAACTGATTGGCATGCACGTCCATAAAAAACAACTCTAGAAAGCTAAATGAGATGCATTGCTTGTTCATTATGCATAGCTTGTCCAATTTGCTTATGGTAAATCAAACTACGGACGCATATATATATATATATATATATATATATATATATATATATATATATGAAGGCAACCTCTGTGTTATATTTAGTATGGGTAAGCTTGTCCCTGTTTCCTAACAGCTTGTGAGTGACACAGTGCAGACATTTCCACAGTACAGGAGTGATGCTGCAGAGCAATGATGAGGAGCTCATCAGGGAGCTGGTACTGTCCTGCCCTTTGGATCGGCACGTCCTTTCTGATGCCAGTCACATTATGGGTGTGTGTGTTTCCTGTGCTAACTAACAGCCCTTTTCCCTGCTCCCCACAGTGCACAGCTAATGGCTTGTGCTATGAGAAGGTGACTCGGGACGGGAGTGTGGCCTCTTCTCTCGAGATGCTGTTCTCAGGATTCTCTCGCATGGTGGGCCTCTCCCTCTTCCCCAGGCTGTGCCAGCTCACTGTGGTGGGCCAGGCCGTGGCTCTCATCCAGGGCCTGGAGGCCTGCCCCCTGCTTCAGGAGCTCTGGGTGGCCGAATGTCAACTAACTGTAAGTGTAGATGGAGCACTTTGTCGGGGGCGGGTGAAATTTCCAAGCTGGGGGATGCTACTCTTTATGGCTAGCTATTACTCATAGCCTGTGCTGTCGGGTGATGAGATTTCATGTTTGCAGTCACACATTTACAGACCCCGATACTTAGCATCATCATCCATCCATCCATCCATCTTCCATATGCACTTAACCAGTTCAGGATCAAGTGAACTTTTTCTTGAAAGGTAATCTTGACGTAAAAATAAAGTTATAAGCATACCAGAATTTATAGTTCTCAGTGCGAGATAATTCTCAGTGGTTATCAACCTTTGTCACATTCAGGGATCCATCCATTCACCTTCCATGACCATTGACCCAGTGCAGAGTCACGGTGTTTTCTTGAAGCCCATAACAGGAAACACTGCACAAGGCAGGGTTGACCCTTAGCGGTATGGCAGCCAGTGACAGAACACACGTTCACACCATGGGCACTTAAGAGATGCCACCTCACCTAACCTCATGTTTTTGGACTGTGGGACGAAACCAGAATACCCAGAGGAAACCCATGCAACACCAGGAGAACATGCAACCTCCACACATGGAGAATTAGGGAAGACGCTCAGGGATCTGCACCAACATCCACTTTAATAGCAGCATGTGATGATGGTTTACCCTCAGTGGTCACTTTACCTCTGATTCTTCTGATCTTAAAGGAGATTTCTGGCCTCCAGACCTGCATCCAACTGCAGAAACTCTACCTCTATGATAACAAAATCAGTAAGATTGAAAACCTTGAGAAACTGGAAAACCTTGAGGTTTTATGGCTCAGCAACAACTGCATTGCTCTCATTGAGGTCAGTTTCGTCCCATTTTCATTAGTTTGCTAGTGATTGTGCGTATCATAATGCAGCTGCAGTTTCACCCACTCATCAATTCCCAGACTTGTGCGGTGGTACATAAGCTGTCAAAACAATCTCTGTGCTAAAACTGTTTGTTGGGTGCTCTTTGACTTGTTTGTCCTTTTGTACATTAAGGGGCTAGACACTCTTTGGAACCTGAGGGAGTTAAATCTTGCTGACAACGCCATTGAAAGAGTTGGTATGCTGATGAATGGGATACCTTAAGCATGTATGGCTTATTGAGCAGTTTGCTGTGGTTTGTACTGCACTATTCATATTAAGCACACCTATTACATTACTTTCATGTCCTTATTTTAGAGCATAGCCTGGACCTCAACATCAATCTACAAAATCTCAATCTTTCAGGAAATAAAATCAGCTCATTGAAGGTGCGTCCCAGAAATCACATCTCTTTTATACAAGGTAGAGCCATTGTCATTTTAATCATAGCTGTAATTTTTGATAATCTTAACATAGTTAAGGTTGTCAGTCAAAGGGCTGCTGCTATAGCGTCTGGATTAGCCAAATTCAGCATTTAATACTCCCCTGATTACGGAGTTTTACTTACAATTGTACGGCAATCAGCCGTGTAGCGCTTTACCCCTGACAGCCAGTCAGGAGGAGGGAAGCTCAGATCACTCCTGCTCTCCCAAGTTCTTTGTTTGCCGTCGCTCCTTTTCAGACTTTGGAGAAAAGATTCTTTAATTTGAGTACCACTTAGCTTGAGACTTTCCAGTTTTCAATCAATATGTTTATTACATCCTGGAATTATTTTACCTTTCCTTGAGGAAAAACATGATGTTTGAATAATAGAAAGTGAGCTCTGACCATGTATCTGTTGATGACCCCCCCCCCCCAACTGTTTCTGTAAGGCGGTCTTTCAATGATGCGTCCCTGGGTAATCTGGGCGCACTTCCACAGAGCGATGTTTAAGTGCCTCTTGGTGGCGTCTGCTATTTTGCCTAGGGGGTTATGTTGGCTAAGTTGTTTATGGGCATCATCCTGTGACAGGAGCTGACCAACCTGGCCAGACTGCCTGCCCTGAAGGAGTTGGGTTTGATGGACCCCCAGTATGGCGCCAACCCCGTGTGCCTGCTGTGTAACTACGCCACCCACCTGCTTTACCACATGCCCGGCCTGCAGCGACTTGACACGTATGACGTGTCCAGCAAGCTTCTCAAGGACATGGCAGAGGTGAGCTATCCTGACCCCCACCGTCAGCTGGCTGAAGCTCCTCTATAGAAGTACATTCATGGATGTAGCACCAGACTAGTATGCGCAGGATATTTTTTTTTTTTTGGGGGGGGGGGTGCTGTTTCATGCTGTGGATCAGTGATGATCCCCCACCAGAGGTGATTCTAGGGACTCCGGGGGCCCAGGGTAAAAAAAAAATAAGAAAAAAATCTGCATGGGGCCCTCAAATTTCACCCTGACATGTTGAAATTAAATACCATGTTTTTTAGCACAAAGCCGAAATTAATAATTTCACCAAAGACAATTTAATAAATGCAGATCCTTTACTTCCACTTTTGTGGAAAACAGAATAAAACACAAATAAAACAGATTTGTCGTTGCAATGTACTATGTAATCAACTGCTTTTGGGGAATCCCCCCCTCCTGGCTCAGGGGGCCCCAGGCCATTGCCTGCATTGCCTGCCCTGTCACTATGCCTCTGTCCCCCTCCCCCAGGCCACTGTGATGAAGAAGATGATGTACTACAATATGCGAGTGAAGCGGGTGCAGGGCCAGCTAGCTGAGACTGAGGCCCGGCTGCTGCAGCACAAGAAGAGACTGCTGCTGCTTCCGGAGAAGCAGATTTGGGTCCTCAGCCATGCCATCAAGCACGTATGTCCTACAGCGCAGACGGTCCACCTTGCTGCTACTCACAGCCCTTGAATTTGCAGGCTCGGTTTCACTTAACCAGAGTCCCAATGGAGAATGCAACATCGCGGCTGCTTTCACGCCTTGTCATGCAGGTGGAGAGAGAGCTGGCAGAGGTGCTGGTCAAGCCTGGGAGGTTGGTCCACCACCAGGATGCTCCTTCGTCGCCAGCACCCAAGTTCTCAGTTGACCGGAGCACTGAGTTGAAGCTTCTGCAGAAGCTGGATGCCCTGAAGGAGAGGCTAAGCTTGTGGATGAGCCGACTAGAGGAGTGAGTACAGCAGCACTGGTACAGAAAGCAAACTTGGTACCATGGTCCTAAGACACACAACTTAGAATTTTTAATGGTTTGTTGGTTTAGAAGCAAATTCAATAGTTGACATGTATACGGCTTCTATTTTACAGAGTAGAGATTCACCACCAGGCAGAGCTGTCCTTAGCTACCGAGAGGAAGAACCTGCTGGTGCACTTCTTGGTGATGGAGCTGGAAACTGTGGGCAACATCCACTTTGAAGAGGGCAGTTCTGCTGACCCATGGTACATGCACCACATCCTGTTACCCACCCTAGGGCACTGCCACCTCTGAGCCGCTTCCCCTAAACAACATTCAGCCCCTCGGCGGCTCCTCTGACGCTATGACATCATAAGCTCACTATCCTCATTCCTGCTCCGGTTACTGCTACTTGTCCTGCTGCAGCTGCACCATCTGCCTGTTTGTCAGTCTCCAAATGGTGAATTCCCATGATGCTTTTCTCCAGTACATCCAATGTGTCATTTCGGACCAAAAACACTGCTGTGAACTTTAATGATTGCCGGTCACCAGCACTGCCCAAATCTCCCATGATTCCTTGCCCTGCTACCTCCCCAGGCTCCTTTGCTCCCTGGTCTACAGCACTGCTTTGGTTTTCTATTTTCTCTGCCTGATATTCCTTGACGTTTTTCTGCCTCTTGCTGCCTTAGGCTCCCTCATCTCCCTTGACTCATGGTGCCCAATACTGCTCTGACAGAGACCTACCGTTCCTATAGGTTCACATCTTGCTGCGACCTCATCCTGTCACGGTTCTGCACTCAGGAGCAAAAGGCACACGGTATCGCCGGGGTTAGGGTCACACGTGTCATCAGGTTGCACAACCGTGCACTGCGTCTGCGCTTTGAAGACAAGTTGCATGCACTGTTGGCAAGCGAGGAGTCTGCAGATTTCTCCCAGTAAGTGTCGGCCCCCAGGGTGAGAGACAAGGGGGGACTATCCCTCCTTAACTGTGGTCCCAGAGGGCTGCAGAAGAAACAGGGCAACAAGTAGTAACTTCTTGTTAGCCACATAAGTTTCAGAATTCATGGCTATGAGACGACTACTGCAAATCCATACAGAATAACTGATACTGGAAATACCCCTTTCTGATATAGCACTTGGCCACAGGACACCCAGTAGCAAACTGGGAATTATTAAAGTAACAAAAATTTGAACACACACCATTATACTCTACCTGCCTCCTGCAACATTGGTGCACCGGTCTGTGCCTCTCCTTATAGAGCTATTCTCAAGAGCCAAGTGATATCTCTCTTCTCCCTATTCATCTGCTGCATCCTGAATTATTAAAGCCTGAACTGTAATATGGTCCAGAGGAGGCTAATAACTAACAGGACAATTCATCCAATGAGAATGAAGACGTGTCTTACATGTCTTTACAAGTCTGAATGAAAGAGTGACAATAAAGTGGCAGATTAACAGAAAGGCCGTAGCATGAGGTCCAGCCTAGATGGGACAATCTGGAGCTTACTTTTAGAAAGACCCAGGAATAGCATGTCGATCAGTCATAGATGAAGCCAGTGGAGACTGATGACTGCTGCAATCTGTTACGGCTCAAGAGCCTTTACTCATGTTCTGCAACAGCACATGTGTCCACTAGAAAAAGGGTCCTGTTCAGAGTCACGCCGCTATGCAGCCCAGATTCCCCTGACTGTAAAAACAGCAATACAAATGGCTTATGGTTAATAAAGTGTAACATGTGCTTACCTACAAGCTGGGAACCTGCCAGCAAACTGACTAATATTTGGGCAGGAACCCCAAACGATGGCTGGACTATCTCTTCTACATGCCGGATGGGGAGGCAGACAAGCTCCTGCGCATCATGGAAGACGGGTTCCCACCTGCGCATGAGGTACGTTTATCAGAATCTTTTCCATGCAAGTGTGCATGTCTGTACCCGTGTATGAAAATGCGTCTCTCCACCTGCACAGGTTGTGGGAAAGGACAGGGCTGTCGCATTATCCAGCAGTCTGAGTGTGAGTGAGAGGCCCAGGCAGCAGCTGGGGCAGAACCCACGGCCTTCCCAACACGGTCTGTCCTCAGCACAGGACCCTCCCCCTCCCCCCCACCCCAGAGAGCATAGGGGACACAGGTGACTCACAAGGCCTCTCCATTTCCCAGACCAGGTAATTGTGGCAAAGGTGTTCCTGGGGCGCAGTATGCCAGCCAGAGAGGGAGAACCTATGGAACCTGACAGCTACCCAAAGGCCCATTCTGTGTACCACACCGTTACCATGGATACCCACCTTGGTGGAACACCGATGGCAGGTAGTGTCATACAGATCGACCCAGTGGTTCTGTATTTTGCCTACATGTTTTGGGAGTACAGAGACTTTTCTTCTCTCTGTCTCCCTCTGCTGTCTGGGGCACAGAAGGCTCCTCCATGCCCCACCCCAGCTGTGAGTGTGGATTCCAGCAGAAGAAGTGGTTTGTATTTGATCATGAACTGGTCCTCCCAGAATACCTCGTCGACTTTGAGTACATCACCCAGGTATGCTGACGGGCAGGAGCTCATGGGCTGACTGCACCTAACTGCTGCACTACCTGGGAGATCGTCGATTTTTAACGGAGAGATGATATTTCATGTCTTTCTTCAGGACAGACATTGGATGGCGCTTCCTGAGCCCACAATGTCAAACCAGGTGAAAGGACCACCCCTCTTTCAGCAGGACGTCGACTTGGATATGGACGCCCTCGACATGGAACCTGGCTTCCAGCTTCGCCCCAAGATTGTGACCCTGGATGAGAAGACGGCTCTGGCAATGGCCCGGGCCAGCGTGCTGGGCCAGATCACGGTGAGGCTGGGGCCACCCGACCCAGGCACCGTTTGGGTCATCCTGGAGAGGGACTTGTATGTGGTGAAATGTAAGGTGGTACTCTGGGCACCAGAAGTTCACAAGCCTGAACCTGTTGTGTTCACACAGGCGAGGAACTATGCCTTGGTACTCCAACACTCTAGTGGTACTTCCAATTATTTTCATTTCATTGACTGCCAGGACATTTAAGCACCATTCATCCAAGTTTGCCTGTCTTTCCAGAGGCTGATTGTTTAAAAACAACAGTACCTGTTAATTATGAAGAGGTTTGTCTCTCATCTGTAAACACTGATATGGCCATGACCCCCCCCCCCCCTCCTCCTATCATCCTTCTTTTCTCTGGAGTCAGATTCTGAATCTCCATGGAAACAGCCTCAGCGAACTGAAGGGGATCTCACAACTGATGGCCCTTCGGCATCTGACTGTCAGTTTCAACGAGTTAACACATCTGGATGACCTTTCGCATATGGTACTGTGCCTCACATCTGGATGGTTTCCTATGGGGCTGTACAGGCAGTGTCAGTAGGGTTTTGGCTCTGACAAATTCACGAAGTACTCCTCTACAGCTTTGACGAACATCAAAGTTTAGCTATGTTCATGAAGCACTGAAATCTTCTTGTACAGTACATCCTATCATGGGCAGACCTTCCAGCCCGTGTTACGGCTACCCACAACACACTACAGGTGCTTATCTTCTGGACCTTCAGACTTTTCATGTGAACTGTGTACTTTATTTATCACGGTGATACTGGAAGTCGGCATTTTGGCTGAAACTGATGCTGTCGATGTTAAGTCAGCACTAGCTGGACAGACAGAGGTCACGATAGCGAGGCAGCGAGTTGCCGTTGGGTTATTTACAGTTGTCATTCTTCTCCATCGGTGCTGGGGAGCAGCCTAGATTAGAGTCTGTGGATGCCAGCTACAACCGTATTACCACCCTGGAAGGCTTCCGTGGCATGAAGCAGCTGAGACAGCTGGATCTGCGCTGGAACAAGCTGACCAGGGCGCGGTCGGAGGCAGCAGGGCTATGTCAACACGCCCCCTGCCTGCAACGCCTCGATATATGTCATAACCCCTGGCACAAGGTTAGAACTCCCTGAGCACACAGCAAGCACACAGCTAGCACACCGCGAGCACACAGCAAGCACACAGCAAGCACACCGCGAGCACACAGCTAGCACACCGCGAGCACACAGCTAGCACACCGCGAGCACACAGCTAGCACACCGCGAGCACAGCCCAGAATGCCCCCCGACTACTAAGCCTGTTCTGCGTGTTTCAGCCTGCCATGTTACGCATGGTGGTTTTAAGCCACCTGAGGGCCCTCACACACCTGGATGGGCAGCTGGTGAGCGAGGAGGAGGTGGTGGCCGTCACGCAGATGGGCGAGTCCCGGATTGACCAGGTAGGACGAAACTCTCCACGCATGCAAAAACACACCCTGCATGGAGGCCGCGTGTCCTCTGACTGCAAACACCTGAATACAGATGCAGCAGCAAGCCAGCCAACAGATCCTAAAATGTACTGATGTACTGGCAAACTCCGAAGCGGTTCACGGTAAATCTAGAAATCAAATGAGAGGCGAATCCAGCAGCTACTCGATGTGAATGTGAGGTTTATTGTATTGCAGGTCTCCATCCTGGCCCACTCACGGACCGACACAGATCGGCCACGCCGCCTCAGTCTTCTCTCTACGGCCCAACTCCTGACTAAGTCCCACCCGACACCCTGGGACCTCAGTGCTGGGCTGGAAGTGGTCTGGACCTTGAAGGTGAGTGCTTCCCGCAGCGGAGTCTGTCCACAGGAAAAATGAGCACATGACAGATGTATAAGCCTTTCGTGACAGATTACTGCCCTCAACTTGGATGGCCAAAGGCTCTCTCGACTGGAAAATCTGGAGGGACTGGTCAACCTTCAGTGGGCCTCCTTCAACAACAATGATATCACCGACATAGAAGGCCTGGAGAAGTGCCGGCAGCTGAAGGAGCTCTCCCTGGATGATAATGACATTTCCAGACTTGACGGTCAGTCGCATGGATGCATGAGTCTGTGCACGAGACTGCTGGGGTGAGATGATAGGGGCAGGTGCTGACTGGATAGCAATGTCCTCCTTGTTATTTAAGACAGCCCTTAGAGTGATGGTAGTATATGGTACTAGCCAATTTCAGACACGACTCTCCCTAAGTCCCCCAAATACCCCTGTCTTAGTAGTTAACTGAAGCATGGATGTGGTACAGAGTAAGTTACTATGTCTGCAGGTCTGTCATGCCTACATCAACTGACGCGTCTCAGCATGAACGGGAACCGGCTGAGCAGCCTTGACACATGCATCTTTGACGAGCTGCCGTTCCTGCACTTTCTGTCCATGGAGAACAACCGACTGGGCTCCCTGCGCGGAACGCAGAGAGCGCGCTCTCTCTTTGAACTATACGTGGGCAACAATCGCATCGGTGCCACCAGAGACATCTACTACCTCAAGGTTGGGTGTGCCACACACACAGCCTTCGAACTGTTTAAATATAACTCTTAGATATAATTGTTCAATGTTATATCAGCCCCAGACAACATCTATATTCAGTATTCCCAAATGTATACTAATCTACAGTTTATAGTGCCATAGTATTTATTGTATTTACAGTATAATACTTAATATAATAGTATTTTATCATTAATGTATTGTAACATTTATTACTACAGTATGTCACTGCATGCACTGGCAAATAAACTGTGCCACTAAATACTGTAGTTACTCTGTAGTGATTAGTTTTCTTAGTACCATCATTAGTACCTTAGTACCTTTTGTCACTATTATTACTATCCTTAATTATTGTTACTATTGCCAGTTTTGTCAGTCTTATTATTCTTTATTCTTCTTCCATTTTTTGCATTGTGGTCTTTCATATGTCTAAACTACTGGAGGCTTAAATTTCCTTCAGGATCAATAAAGTATCTGTCTGTCCTTCAGTTAAAGAGTTATAGTGATATATCCAGAAGAGTGTTTCAAGTTGATATTTTCTCTTAAGCTCACTTTATATTACCAGATATTTCAGTTGTCTCCTATAATATCTATAAACAAAGGCTACAGTGACTCCTGGTTATTTCACAGAACCAGTACTCTCATTTTTTCAGGCCCTGACCAGCCTTGTAGTTCTGGATCTGCACGGGAATCCCCTGGTGGCAAAACAAGAGAACTACAGGATGTACGTGGTGTTCCAGCTGCCTTCACTCAAGGCTTTGGATGGGCTGGCAGTGGTGAGAGCTTGAGTTTACGGGAGTAGAAAACGGAACCCCCCCCCTTCATAAATGCACTGCCAGGTGAGGGAAGGCCTGACCACCTGTGCTATGTTCTACAGGAGATGTCGGAGAGCGAGAGTGCCAAGGACATTTTCGGGGGACGTCTGACCCCTGACATGGTGGTTGAGAAGCTGGGTCACGCAAACTACTCCCAAATCTCTGAACTGGACCTGCAAGGTTCCTCTATCAGGTACTCCTGAGGCCTCCTGCCTTCATGGACAGCTCAAGCAGCTGCTGTGAGGATGCTTGGCGTTGAGGTTCTTTGCATGCTGACCTGTGTTGCTGTCTTTTAACTTAGATTATGTTGCGTAGCATATCAAGCACCTTATGTAGCTGCTTCTCATGCAGGCCTCTGCTTCTCTCCTCAGGACGGTGGACTTGGCTCCCTTCCATCTTTTCCGTAGCCTGCGCAGCATCAATCTCATGCACAACAACCTCACTTCCTTCAGTGGCCTCATCTACCTGCCCAGAATCAAGGTGTGTGATTGGCCAGCCAGCTTTTGGGGGGCCAGAATGACCTCAGTTAATGTCATGCCTTACCACGGTAATGTTTGGCAGTTTGCTTCTTGCACATCTGAGTCAAGCTGTGTCCTTTGAGAGCGGTTAGGTGCCCAGTTAGCAGAGGTTGGATAGTTCAGGTCTAGAAAGTAAAAATCCAGACCAAGATTTTGTTTCAACCAAACAGATCAGCCACAGAGCACTGAACTGGCTGGTTGAAACAAAATCTTGGTCTGGATTATTTTCTCTCTGGACCCGAACTATCCACCTCTTCCAGTTAGACAGCAGCATTTCCCACCCTTGCAGGTGCTCTACCTGGACTACAATCGCATCGAATCCATTCTGCCCCAGCACAAGAGTCCAATCCAGCCAAATGGTCGGCAAACATTGTATCACAAGGTCAGCTCCAGTGGCTATGGGCAGCAGAATCTATCAAGAGCTAACAGGTACTGTACCCTGCTCTGATTGCTGGTGTTGCATGTGTCAGAACATAAGTGATTTGAAGTCATCTGTAATCAGGTTTTTTTTTTTGTTGGTGTGGTGTAGTTCCCTTTTTATTCACTGGGGGGCAGCAAAAGCATATGTTACCCATCCATCTCCCTACTCACTCATTCTGGTCAGGGTCACAAGGGCCTGGAGCCTCAGGCAGCAGAGGGCAGAATGCTGGGGTATACATTAGACAGGATGCATGTTACATACACTCTCAGAGTTTGCCATACGCTACAGGCAATATAGAGACATCTATAGCCTATAGCCAGCTGCATGTCTTTGTCTGGTTTAGCTAACCTGTGGTGGTTCTGCTTTTGAAATCAGTATAGCTGTCTATATGTCAGACATAGTTCTAGGTGCCAGGAAATGTGTCTCTTTCTGTGCCCCAGAGATGCCAGACCCGCTGACAGCCTGGACCCTCTGATGGAGAGCCTGGAGGTGCTGCATCTGGGTCACAATGGCATCTCCAACCTGGCCAGCCTGCAGCTCAGCAGACTCACGGGCCTGAGAGCCCTATTCCTCCAAGGTAGCCAATCATCAGTCCCCAAGAGCTTGTGCACAGAACTATGTGTCGCACCTGTATGGAAGTGATCACACGTGTGCATCTGCGTGAAGGTTCTGTTTCTGCGCAGGCAATGAGATCAGCCACGTGGAGGGCCTCGAGGGGCTCCAGCATCTGCGGGAGCTGGTACTGGATGGCAATCGCATACGGGCCGTGGGACAGAGCTCCTTCAGTGGACAGACCGCGCTGGTGGAGCTGCGCTTGGCTGAGAACCGGCTGCGGGAGGTCGGCCACCTGCAGCCGCTCGTGAAGCTGCGCAGACTCTTCCTGGACGCGAACAAGCTGCAGGTACACAGCTGCACTAACGATCTGAGTCTGAGCTTGACTAAGCAATGAAAACCTCTCATTGAGCTGTGCAGCCTTCTGTACTGTACTGTTCATACAGGGCTTTGTAACCCTTCTTAAACCAACGACCACCAATTGGTAACAGACCAGAACAGGTGCATTAAAGGGGCATGTGTTTCCTGACATCTTCAGGGCAATCAGCACTTGATACGGGCCCTTGAATATGTAAAATTTGACATAAAACTGGTCAGGGGACCCAGAATTTCTAAGTATGGCCTATCACATCATTACCTATCACATAAGTAACAGCTAAGGATTGGGGGAACTTTCCCTTAGCTGCCGTTAAGCAACGTTGCTTCAATTTTGGGGCAATTCATCTCAAAAACTTGATCCGGTCCAGATCTTCACCCATACAGTGTGTCTGCAAAGTTTGAAAAAGATGCGTAGAATACTTTTGGAGTTTGTCGCACTAACAAGAAAGTGTCTGCGGTAGCAGCGACAGACCAGTCCTAAAACTATGGGAATGGAATTACTATTAAACATTTATGCAGACCACTGGAAGCTGCTCTATAGACACCCAGTATTATTAGTGCTCAGAAAATCGGAGAATTCTTACTGTAATGCAAAACTAGCCGTCCACATTTTTCAGTCCTGTCCTGAGCACATTCTTAGCTGAGGAAGAGTCTCAGATTACAGACTGCCCACATACCTTAAACTTGCGGAAGTCAGACCTCATTGCCGGGACGCCTTCTGACCTTACCGGTGGAGTGAGGAGCCTTGGGCTTGCTCACAGCAGCGTGTTGATCTTCAGGTGCTTCGTCTCGATCGACGGGCACATTAGCACGGCGATTAGATGTAGGGGAACATCGCCTGGTTACCATGGTGAAACATTCTACTGCCCCGCATTATGGAAAGTCTACGCTGATTGAAGGTCAGAGCTGCGCATACAAAGACATTAAAAAAGATGAGAATCAAGCGAGGCGCAATCAGATTTGCGTCCACATCCCGCCGCATGCGCTGATTGTGGTTTGTCACAGTTGCGCTCTCGTTTTTAATTAGAACGCGGGTAGTAGTAATCACAGCACATTTCTGTACATCCCAACTGCCAGGGGAGGAGGGCAGAGACCCCCAGCTGCCTAAAGTCATGCATCAGCTGTCCAAGCAATGAGGGACTGCACAACAGGGGCACTGCGGCTCTGATTAGGGAAGGCTCTGCATCTAATGCATCTCTGAACAGCTGAAAGGAAGGAAACGCCAAGACATGACAGCACTCTGTGTTAGGGATGTCCCGATACAACGTTTTAACTTCCGATACGATACCGATATTGCAGCCTTCAGTACTAACCGATAGTCTGTGTGTCCGCAGGACTTGTGTGAGATCGAAAAGCTGGAGGAGCTGCCCTCACTGGTGGAGCTGTCTGTACTGGGTAACCCAGTGAGTATGACTGCACCCCTGTGACTGACCACCCAGAACAGTCACTTGAACCCTTATTTTGTGTGGTGATTAGTGCCCTGGCCCACCTGCAGTCCACAGGGTCTTGCAGTTGTACACCCTCTGCAGCCGCTTCTGAATTATATACCTGGATAAAACTAGGAGATACTGATTAAACAATCAACCACTTTACGTAAATACAGTATGGTGCAAAAGTCTTAGGCAGTCAAAAGGAAATGTTTAAAGCTATTTATCTGGGTAGTGCACATTTGCTCAGAGCAAAAAACACAATTTAACACTGGAACATATGCAAATTAAGAGTAACACAATAAAAACTACTATTAATTTCTTCTGTTCTCTAAAAAGTTACCAGTGTCTAGTTGGATGGTTAGATGAACACCGCTTCAGTTCCCAAACCTCTCCTCAGGGCCACCCTAGCCACTCCATTCATTTATTACATTTCTTCACCAGCTCACTTGATTAATTTAATTAGTTAAAAAAGTCAATGAGATAGTTTTACACCAATATAAAGATATTTTACACATCATTTTCATTGGCTGCCTAAGACTTTTGCACAGTACTGTATGTACCAGGAAATTTCATCCAGAGCAGCTTTGACCGTCACCTGTTTAAACAGCCCAGGGTTGTAGAGCTGAGGTCGTTAACCTCTAAGCCAGGGTTATTCAAATCACGGTCCTTGAGGTCCGAGCACTGCTGGCTTTCCAGCCTCCCTTTAGCTGTCAGTCAGGTGTGAAGCCTCTGAGCAATCAGAATCAGTAATTATTAAACTAACTACCTGGGAGAACTGAAAAACAAGGCCCGGATTTGGAGTCGAGGTCCAGATTTGAAGAACCTTGCTCTAAGCCCACAACTGCAGTTACCATCCCGCCAGCTGCCCTCGTGGTCACATGCACACAGAAGCCCCCAGAGCTCCAGCATGTCCTGCTTGTGCATGAGTGTGCCCGTGTGTGGATGTGCGGCAGGTGGCCAGGAGGACTCGGCACCGTCCTGCCATGCTGGTGCGTCTCACCAGGCTGCAGGTGTTGGACGGCCTGGCAGTTACTCTGGAGGAGAGGGCCTGGGCGGACATGCTGCTTAATGAGACTGAGGTAAGGACCGCCCTGAGTGATGGCTCACTCGCGCAAGTGCTCGGGTCGTGACACACAGTCACTTCTGGCTCTCTCCGGAAGGTTATTAAGATATCATATTAATAAATCATCAGAAAGAACAGAGGTTGTATTCTTCCCCTTGGGGAGATTGCCCCTTTACCTCCTTGAGGCACAAATACAGGTGTGAGCAAGCATGGGGGGGTCATCACAACACGGGGTCAGCCAGCATCCAGCACCTGGAGCAATTGGGGTTAAGGACCATGCTCAAGGCCCCAACTGTGGCATTGGGTCGTTGGATATAGGATTCAAACCGGCAACCTTCCGATTACAGGTACAGAGTCCCAACCAGCTGAACCACACACCACCCCCAATAAAAGCATCTATCAAGTAACTTAATGCTTGCTTTTTATATAATCCAGGTAATTGGTTGCAGGCTCCAGCAAAAGTATAGGAAATTAAGGGAGTGCAATCCAGCACCTAAGACATTACACATCCTCATCCACTCCAAATCAGAGTGCAGGTAACATTTTCAAGGCTGTTCTGTCCAGAAATGCAGCAAAGGAGATTAGTGCCAAGCATTATGCCAGGGCAGCCAGTAAGAGCTGACCATGTTCCTGACAATCCGACAGCAGAGAACTAAAAGCCACGGATTACATCAAATCCGTCCTTTAGCCTGTGCAGCCTGATCCCAGCTTGTTAAGTCGAGATAAGAGTGGGGAGATTCCACCTTGTTATGGCCTCCCATCACACAACATAAATACTGTGTCCGGTTTCGTGTAATTTATCCATTCTCTGCTACCAGCAAATAGCAGCTAAACTGAGTAGGATGTGGATAGCCTAAGCAGGACCATGCCATCAGCACACCTTAGCTGACGGCGAGAGAGGTTAGAGTGCCCCTCAAGCTAGCTTTCAGATAGCCCCTGGGAGGCTGCAGAGTTTTTGTGTAGTTGTTGCTTGTGTTAGATACCACAGATAGTCTCAGTTACGGCTCCCTTTAATGGACCTGTTTGATGTGCGCGTGTCAGTGACAGACCACAAGGCTCGGAAAATTCACATTGTCAAGGTCTCCCTTCCGCTCCAGTTACAATCAAGAAATGTTTCTTTAGACAGAAATGTCTTTAGGCTGGACTGAGTCCAGCACTGGTAGATCCACTTGTGTATATGTAGCTCAGCAGAGCTCTGTGTGTGTGTGTGTGTGTGTGTGTGCGTGATGCTCTGTACCTTCTACTTTATATAAATGAATGAAATAGCTATAACTGTAAATACTATCGTATGCATGTGTAAGAACCTAACCAACCTGACCGATTTTGTTTCAAGGATGTTCCATGTGTCTTGGAGAAAACTTTTAGCGACGGCCAAATGAAGCTTCATGAACCACTTGCTGTATTTTCTGACTCCACTAGATGGTGCTCTCTGTTCAAACAAAGGTCCAAATCGTGCCCCAAAGCAAACGAAAATATACAGCAAATGGTTCATGAAGCTTCATTTGTTCATCACTAAAAACTGGACATACATCAGGGAGCATGAATACAGTACATGACAAAAATGTTAATTATTGTTATTAGCCAGGTGATAAGGCAGCCTTGCAGACATTTAGTCTCTGCTTAACAGTGTGGAGTCCCTGGAAGCACCGCCTTGGAGTCGGGGCATCCCGGCCAGCTGACCTTACCATCCCATGGGAGCTCAGCACACACTGGGATCCTGCAGCACCTCCCGGGTTCAGATCTCCCACCATCAGCCTACCTGGAGGACAAGCCAGCACGCGACTCAGCCAAACGTCAGTGCCGCCGTACCAATTCCACGCGTGCTGCACGAGTTTTAAAAGCAGTCATGGGGGACATTGCACTTGCCATAAAACAGAGAGAAAAGAATTCATGAAAATGTAGAAGCCTGGAGCCAAAGGCAGCAGTACCTGATGAGATTTATCTGACCACAGACAGGCAGCCTGTTGTATCACATCCTTATTTTTCGTCTATCAATTGCTTTCCGAAGCACATTTACAAATGAAACACTGTCTGCTCTAATGCAGCACCAGTGATGTAAATGCCATCTGACTGCACAGCGATGACACGTCTAGAACCTTTGACCCTGATGTCACCTTTTCTCCTTGCAGACAGGAGGAGGCATATCTGTGGCCTGGCCCCCCCACCCCAGCACAGCATTCATCGCAAGCTGGCCCCCCTACAGCCAGGTGGCCCTCTGCATGTCACCGCCCTTCTCTCAAACAGACAGCAGGAATTCCTGCCGTATGCCAACGTGGATGGCGGGTAAGACGGGCTCCGCCCCCGCTGTGCCACGCAGGGCTCTCATATCCGATTCTCATTCTCATCCTGCTTCTTTGCTTAGGTTGCAAAATCACAGTGCTTCCAGTGCTTCCAGACGCACCATGCGGCACCACTGCAACGGGCAAGGAACGCGGCACACAGGTGCACGTCCTTGAAGACGGGAGCGAGAGTACGCCACCGTGTATAGGTTCACAGCTTCATCAGGGAACGGCGCTTCTCTGCAACGAATGTGATCTGCTTGTGAATTCAGCTTAGATGGCTGAACCATATGCCAGGGATCACATGGCCAGTAAGTTCTATCCCAAAGATTAATCTACAAAGATGGCAGGAGTGTGGCCTTAGGGTGAAACAGCCAGTTTTCCAGTCACTGCAAAGATGGACATGTCATTAATTTAAAAACAGATGCACCTGAAAAACAGCGGAGCAGGTCTGATGGAGGTCCAGAGAGCGCATAATGCTGCTTTACAACACCTCTCCCAGGAGGAGCTGGAGCTTTGAGTAGATTCTGAGTATAATACTGTGATTGGTCAGCAACCATCATGCACATAGTCACTTGCCCACCGACGCAGGCCTTGACAGGAAGTGACACGGTGATGTTTGTTAGAATCACCTTTGGGTGATAATGGAGATCGTGGAGAAGCAGTTTTGGATGTTAGCTGATTTTTGTCTTTGAAAAGGCTACCAGTGCTACTCCTTCTGTATTACAAAAACTACAAACCACTTGTCCATAGCATGGCTTATTCAACATTTCTATGCAGTTGCACTCGTTGGGCACCAGATGTCAATAATGCACCACCTGCCTGTCAAGACCTGAAGAAGTGGCTTAAATCCCATAGCCAATGAGTCCACCTTGAGACCGCTTCAGTAGTGGTGAATTATTAAGAAGATTGAGGGTCGTAGTGCATCATCACTGCTACAGCAAAGCAGACTGCCAGACATGGAACAGCACTCAAGACACTGTGATCCACCTTGGTGTAGGTGTGCTATGAATGACCACTTGCGATGGGTTCCTAAGCCCAAATGTGTCCCCACAAAGCCCTTGCCTTCCCCCAGGAAAAACTTCTGAGAGGCCGTCAGTCAGGGGTAAACAGCAGAACCCCTTTCAACACGGAATGCCAGTTCCTGAAGCTGGCCAAATGCTGGCTTGTGTGTCAGCCTTCGTCAATGGGTCTTTAATGCACACGATTCACTTCATCCATTAAAGCCCTCAATGGCCTGACGGCACATTCGTTTCACTGTGTCTCTGCGAATGGGCGTAGACAAGCTCGACAAGACAGGCAGCGGGAGACAAAGGGCGGCCTGATGACGTGGTCCTAATGCAGATTATGGCCTGAAAAACTGAGGATTCTGAGTACACACACACACCACTACAATCCTACACATACATTTGGAGGTCCTTCTGCCTGTTGATCAGCAGGAATTTTTGCATTTTATATAGAATTTGCATATAGTCTATTGATCATTCATAAAGCCATATGAGAAGCCATATTATGCCTGTCATATGTTTCGCTCTCTCTCTCTCTCTCTCTCTCCCTCCCTCTCCCTCTCTCTTACTGCCACTCAGTGGAGTACATGGTTCATAGCTGGTTTAATGGGATAGAACGTGACAGGTTAGATTTCCATCCATAAGACATAAAGTCTGGCTTGGAAGAGAGAGAGAGGAAGAGAAATCTCTCCCCATAGCCCTCTCTCAGTTCATTATTAAACATGCTTGGGCCTGTTGTCCTCTGTTGAGACAACTGCAAGTCCAGGGGGCCAGGATGTTGCTAAAGCAAGCTATTGGTCCAACTGAACCTGCCCAAGAAGCAAACGATTCTGAGAAATAGAAAAAAAAAACAATGGACCAATAGCAAAAATACGGGCAAAGAAGACAGAGAATGGGGTCACACCACGATCCTCACCATACTTTAGGTAATTAATGTCATTAATCTGCCTCAGTCCAATGGCAGAGAACAGTGGCAGCTATTAGGTGGCCCAATTGTTCACATGACTTTAAGACAGTCTATAACTATTTTGTCTGTAGCTTCATGTACACTTGACATTGATGTTTCTGTAACTTCTGAGTAATTACCACAGGGAGCACAGCCTTATTATTACACGTTATAATAGATAAACACAATATACTGTATTGAGTGCCTGTTTCCACAACTCTGAGAATTCTATGGACGCTGTGAATTACTGCCGTGATAAACCTGCTTTTGCGGGGTGCTCGATGTGAAGTGTGCAAACGATTTTTTTTTACTTTGGTGCCAATATACAATTTCTGAAATTTGACTCATTTTATAAAGGCATGAATTCTGTAGCGAATATTTGAGCCTTCAGGCACAGACACAATTCAGGGAGCACAAAGAGGTAAAAACACAGCGATAATGACCGCTGAAATACCTGTCACTGCGCTATTGTTACAGGTCACCATTTTCCACTATCAATCTCCCACTATTTGTCTCTTGGGGAAAAAAGAGGGAGAGCCAAAGCGGAAAAACAGACTAAACAGGGGAAAACAGAGCTGTTCTTGTCAATCCAGGACTTATTGCTCACATACTTCTTTCTTAGTTAAAGAGCTCACTTAACCCAAGGAGGGCATTGAGATGTCACACAATGCAGCCACAAATCAAATGAGCTTTCCCCTAACCTTCTGTATCTCACCCAAAATGAGTCAGACCCAATCATCGCCGAAGCAGCCACGCTGGATCTCAGCGAGGCCAATGACACACATCCTCACCCTGGATGACAACATCGAAAAACACACTAGAGTGCTTAGCAACAGCAGACGCGAAGGGCAGGGCCTCAGTGGTCACCGTTTGTCAATCGCTCGGCAACGGAACACAGGACAGACTGGTGTGCGTGTGCACACACAGCGGTGCGTTTACAGAAACGAAATGCCGGCAGGAGGCATTTTAAGGTCCTCGTCTCTATGAATGGAGAACGTAAAGAAGCGAAACCCTCTTCATAAATGAAAAATACGAGCACTACTGACTCACATAATGTACTTTACATTCCGCCTCTCTGTCCTGACAATAAAGGAGATATAAGTACCACCGAGGTGATCACTCACTCCCAGCACCACATGTCCCACTCATTGCTCATATCATCACCAATCTGTGCTGGAATGGCTTACAGGGGAAGCAGCAGTGGGGGCTTTCTCTCCAGGGGAAGAGCAGGGAGCCGGGTAATACTCAAGCTTAGGAAACAGAGCATACTGAAGACCAAACTGGAGGGCCTTGAAGCAGGAAGAGCCGGACTCTGAGCTGTGTACCAAACAGTAGGCTGGCGAAAGGGACCCGGCCATCATGCTACCCAAACCGTCATCCCCTAAAACAGTGTTTTTCAACCCAGCTCCTTTCTATCTCCTGGAGCAAAAAATGGGGATTGTCCGGGAAGGAGCAAAAAGGTGGACCGTCTGACAGGGAGCTGGGAGGAAACAGAAATGTGGACTGTTTGGTAGGGGCAAAAACATGGACTGTTTGGAAGGGAGCAAAAATGTGGATTGTTTGGTAGGGAGCTGGAATGGAGCAAAAACATGGACTGTTTGGTAGGGAGCAAAAATGTGGATTGTTTGGTAGGGAGCTGGGATGGAGCAAAAACATGGACTCTCTGGGGGTCCCCGAGGACCGGGTTGGAAAACACTGTCCTAAAAAACACACAGCTTGCATATGGGAAGACACAAGCTGTGACTCTACATGCTCCTTGTCCAATTTCAAAAAATGTTTCAGGAAATCAGCAAGAAGGCAGATTAGGTAGAGAAAAATCAGCATAATCTGTCCCCCATTTCAGTGTCCAAAAAAAGACAACAGCATGGCCCATGTCTGTGCACACTTCCAGGGACCAGGATCGACTGCCCAAACCCACATAATGACACCCACCGGATTATATGAGGATGTGATTTTTTTGAGTACTGTCTGGATGTCATCTCATGTGTAGCAATTGCTTCCCAAATCAGCAACAGTTGGAATGAGGCCATAATCTCCTTTTCATGTAATCACCCTCTTATCCATGTCAATGATTTGGCCTTTTTACCAGATCAGCCTATGATCCACGCCCTCGCTCACACCCCCCCCCCACCTTACAACTAAGCAGACATCTGGGATGGCCAATGAAATCACCCACATCTGTCATGATATTATAATAATGTAAATTTGCTGTAGTATCCAAAGTATTAAAGATAAACTGAGAAGGGTTTAATATTAAGACAGGTATTCCTCTGTCTTGGGCCATGTGAGCTGTGAGCTGTGACCTCAGGGAAATACGTAGCTTGAGATAAGGCAGAGAGTGGACAAAAACACTAGTGTTGTGTGCATTCTTGATGTAATTATGACACCACTGTGTGATGTGCTCACTATTCAACTGCAGAGGCACATAGCCAGGGTAAGACAGCATCTTTTGTGTTTTTTTTTAAAGACATCCTCTGTGTCGATTGACAAAAGCGTATTAATCTGACCCTGTTCTGTTCCCCGGCAAAAAAAACCACACAGGTTTGACCTTCTGCTTCTGAAACCATTTCCTTCAGTGTTTATGACCTGATATTGCTCTTGCCATACAGAACACATGGACTTTGCATTGCCTGCACCACAAAGCAAACAGGACAAAAACCCTATTGGTCACAGAATGCTGCATATGATATGTTTAACAGTCAAAAGGAAAACAGTTTGTTTCTGATCACATTGATATATTTTGTGCATAGCGAAGAATACACAATGTGCATAAGATCACAAAATGTCCTGGCAATGGTGATGACACATGAAAAACTTCTGAACTTTAGCTTTATATCTGTAAATGTGTCTTCGTCCTCTGGTGACCTTCTCCTTCTGCCTTGGTTAAAAAGTCCGGAGTCTCTTTATACTTTTATATGTTTTCCTGTCAGTACCTTTCATGTGGCACTGGATCTCTGTGAATACTTTGAGAAAATATTCTCTCCCACGCCAATCATGGCAAACAGGACAACCTTGACTTGGAGCATCGGCACCGAGGCATCTAAGTTCTGTCACATCCTAGTTCTGCATCTCAGGAGGTCTACAAGCAATCTGCTGCCAATCATGGGCAAATGAAATAGGATAAGCTATTCTACAGCAACACAGGGATTACATACAAGGGCTTATCCTCCTGCAACTGCAGCTAAGGGAGGGACCAACGGCCAGCATCACACACACGGTATACCGCTGCCCCTGTGCACTCACCCGCCAGATGGGCCCACAGCCTCCTTCACATGTTAGCAAGGCTGAGGTGGCCCTCAATAAGCAGCTCAGCTATTGGTCCAAAAACCAAGCCCTGGAGACTGCTGTCACCAGATACTTAAGGGTAATGCCAGTGGAGGTGAGATATGTTTCCGTTGCTCGGTCGGTGCGGCGGGTGAGGCTGTGTTTCTGAACATAAGCGGGAGGTGAGAAGAATGAGCGTTTTATGAAAACACTTAGGTGTTGTTTTGAATAATAGATTTGAGCTGCTGCGGCTCAGGGAAATCGAAAAAGACGGATATTGTTCCGTATCTCCACTCTGCTCAGATTATTATTATTATTTCACAGAGCATAATTGGAGCCAGGAAGACAACTGTAATGAATTTCGGACGACCTCGTTTGCAGGCCCTTTGCAGGGAGCAGGAACACGATGCTCCTGGCCTGGGGTCAGTCATGGAGGGTTTTGTGTGGCATGAGCAAAACAGCTTCCTGTCAAAAAGGGGACAGTAGTGTGATTATAAAGTGATATACAGCCGAACCCTGCTTTCTTAGGCAGTAATCACCACAATGACACCCTTCAGTGGCCAAACACACTGTAATTGTGCTGCAATTTGCAATACTTACAGACTTACGGTGCTGCCAATCACACACGCGGCATGTGGTATTCTCCTACTGGCAATCATGGTCTGGACCAGGGCCAAAAAAGTCAAAGCTGCTGGGAAGGTGGGAAGGGGGCAGAATGAGTGTTTGGTCGCCACCCAGCCCAGAACCTCACCCCCCACAAAGCGCCTTAGGATCTCACTTAAGCAACAAAAACAAAAAAAAAGCAAAGTCACATGACCCCTGCAGTCTCAAGTTCTGTGATACTCCTGGCTGTCATGGTCAACTAATCTTCAGAGTCAGAAGCAAAAGTAAAACTCATGGTGGCGGCCAACTTTACTTGAACATGGGTGGGATTTCGAATTCCACCTGACACTTGGATGTAAATGCGGTGTATTTATTTAGCAGGATTAGCAAAGTGCTACAGGATTATATTCTTTCCTCCATAAAATGTAACAAAATTGTCACTACTAACATAAAACACTTCTAATACAAAATTTAGACCATGAACTGAAAAAATCAGTGAATTCATACCTGCCGCCTATCTGACAGCATAAGGCAAAGCAAAAAGTATTATGCCTGGACATTTTACCATTTATAGGTCTGTAATAAATAATAATAAAAAGAACTATTCATTAGTTTACAATTGATATACAACTTGTCATGTAACACATACATACCACACACAGACAGACATCTTCCAGAGGTAACCTGGGGCGCCTCTACATACAGGGCCTCTGATAAAATAGGCCTCAAAACGCCCCTCCTTCCCTCCCTCTCCATGGCAACTTTATCTACCTCTTTATACATCCAACAATGCACATATTTCCTATTTCAATTAAGCTGTCCTGGTTGTGTGCAGTTTTCCCTATATTACCCCCCATAAACCTTGTTACATCTGGTCAAGGAAACACAGCTGGATCTAGAAGTGGGCACGGGTGGGCAATGCCCATCCAAATTTCTGCTCTGCCTACCTAATCGGTCAATTTCAGCCTGCGCCATCTGAATCTGCCAGTCACGTTTATTTCATTCGTCCCATCAGATATTCTTCTGCGGAGCCTGTGAAAGTGGAGGAGGAATGTTACCTTATTCTTATTAAAGCTCCTTCTTGTTAAAATGTGTCTTTTGTTGCTGTAGTTTTCTGTATTGTTGTGTTGAATAAGGATCTTTGCAGTACTGGTTTCTGTAACTCTTGGCTTTATATCAGCGCAGGGCTGCCAACTTTGGTCAGCTGGCTGGAGTGAGACTTTCAAGTCTGCGCAAGTCTTCTTAGAAAAATGAACGGTTTTGTTAAATTTTGTACAGGGGACTAATAATTATGACCTTAACTGTAGATTATGTGCTATAATTTACGTTCACCTCCTTTGTCCACTTTGCACCAATGCAGTGCAGGTCACTCCACCTTTGTCTGCAAAGTTGGTTTGTGGTTTGGTAATTATCTTCTAATGATTAATCTCTTTATTCGTCCACTATATTACTGTTCATGTTACATGTTCTTATACACCAGTTCATGAGTTTGAGACCCAAATTCGCCTTTAATATGCCAGTAGATAAGTTTATGTTTATGTTAAGTTTATGTTTGGTTAGAAGACACATCTATCCAAAGCACCTTACAAAAAACACACCATAATAATAATAATAATAATAATAATAGTTTGTCTATCCTGACTAGAGAGATGACCATCAGCATAATGTAGTGTTCAGAAATAGTTCAAACATAAAATATGAAAATGCCCATGTACCCCACCTATTTCTCGGGTCACACGACGTTACGGCATTGTAAGATACTGCCCATCCAAAATTTGTAATTGCTCCCCCAACCTGAGCAGTCTAGATCCGGGCCTGCAAGGAAGCAGAACATTATAAAGGTTTTATAAACGACACAAAGTTGAACTGGCACGCAACGAAAAGTGTTATGAAACATTGTTTCCAGGCACGACATCCAATAGTCGTATTCTATTCGCCTAAAAAAATATGTACTATAATGCTCTACCATAAAATTTGTCGCTGGGGCTTTTTCTTCAGAAACGGATTAAGTAATATTTTTATTTTGTTCGACAAGTTCGAGACACACCTCGCGGCACAAAAAAGCGCCTCCACCTGCCCCTCCAACCGGTCCACGCGGCTGCTCGCGCCGTACGCCACGCGCTCACGGCAGCGCGCCAGGCGTCCGCGCGCACGTGTGTGCGCGAGCTGCGGCCGGAGGCACCCGTGGAGACGAGCCGTGGAGACGCGGAACCGCAGCTGGCCGGTGCACTAATACCTCCGCTCCTAACCCTCCGGAGGACATTCTGCTTAAAGGAAGTAAACCTAGGCAAACATTCGTACGTATTACCGATTATCACCATTTAAATGTGCCGTTTAATAACATAGCTGCACAGTACCTCAAAGAATACACGCAGCCCGCTACTCTGCTAGCACAGCTCTAGTTATCCAGCTGTTGCGAGATGTATTTTATTATTTACTCAGTTTTACACTCAACTGTGATTAAAAATATCCTTTGCTAATGCTCTGGTTATAAATTTTATGGGAAACTTATAAAAGTCATGCAGTAGTTCGCCGTTAAGCTAGCTTGCTAACAATAGCTATCCAACTTTATTCCTGTATGAGCTTATTCGTTTGGATTACAAATAATAATAATAAACAAAACGCATCCGTCCATAATCATTATAATACCCTAAGCACATTTTTAGGGTTTTGGAAATACTTGCATTGTTAAGCAGATCCTATTATATGAGAGACACCGCCGGCTTGATTGTTTTTGTTGACATTTGCCCATAGAGACGCCCGAGCGCCCGGCTGCACGGATCAGATGGTTAACGCGGCTAAACTAACGCGCTTCCCTTTGCCATATTCAGCTCACCTTATCAGTCCATCATTTATCTCCGTAGTGGCTGGAAAGCTGAGTCGATTTTTGCCTTCAGGAGTGCTTTTTTTCCCTCTTTATTTGATTACTCCGTGACAAACTCCGTTCCTTTAACTGAGGAGTCCACACTGTGATGTTTTCTTCCCTGTCTTAGACAATGTTCTGGCAGAGGGCAGCTGGCTGGTGAGGATGACCTTTTACCCACCCAGGTTGTGATCGAGATGGGGCCCGATGTCCCTCTGCTCAATGACTACAAGCAGGAGTTCTTCTGGAAGCGCTTTCCCCAGACAGTGCTGGGAGGTCCCCGCTTCAAACTGGGCTACTGTGCCCCACCATATGTCTACATCCACCAGATCATCCTGTTCCTGACGCCCTGGCTCATAGGTGGTGTGGGCACGCTACTGCATCAGTTACAGGTTCTGGAGGAGCTCGGTGCCGCCTCCCTCTCCGGAGGGCTTATGCTGGGGGCTGCTGTGGTTGTCCAGGCGCTGGCCGTGCGAGCAGCACAGCGGACAGGGCGAGTGGAGCGCATACACACAGCCAGCATCCTGGCGGAAGAGGAGGAGGTGGAGTTTGCAAGCTGTGCCGGCCCCGAGACCGTCCGCTTCCTCATCCCGGGAAAAAGGCTCATCCCAAACACAGTGCTACATGTGGTGCTGGCTGGGGTCGTGTGCGGCCTGGGGACGTGGTACCTACTCCTCAGCAGACTCAGCAACCTGTACGGCAGCCAGTGGGCTGCAGGACTGATCTTCATCCTAAGCTGGGTGACCCTCTGCATCGGGGAATACTCCCTTATCATCAACACGGCCCCCGAGACGGCCACCTTTCAGCCACAGGACACCTATGAGATCACACCGCTCACCCGCCCGCTCTACATTTTAATTTTCATCGCCGTGGACATCGCTCAGAGGTAATGGACAGATCAAACACCCTTTTTTTGTCAGAAAAGGGACCTGAAATCCCTGCCACCAAATACAGGCCAGGCAAAAGTAGTGGTTTGTAATAAATACATCCTCTCACTCTTGTGGTTTGTGGTAGCAGCCAACAAGAGACACACTAAACGTAGCATCTGACACCACAGATTCAGTAAGAGAAATGGCTTAACCTCAGAGCCAGTCCATGAAGCACTTTGTGCAGATGATGTTTACTAAGGTGAAGGTGTTTGATGTTGACCTGCTCAGCTGCTTGTTCCCCGACTTGGTCCCAGCAGAGTGACGGGCCCCATTCCAGCGCTGGTGTTAAGCAGTCAGGTGCTCCACGTGCTTTTCCTCCTCTTGCCACTGCTGTGGGCGCTGGGCTTGCTGTCACCTCTAGATGCCCTTCTGCTCTGGGGAATGGAGCAGACTTTGGTTTTTGGCCTGGGTGGATCACCCATGTCAACTAACTTCAGGTGACTGAACCGCATCACACACTTGGCTCTTAGAGGTTCTGTATACCTGGTTTTAAGTTTTGGTTAAGCCAGTTGTTTTTTTGCACGACTGTTTCCTGTACTGCAGGCTGCTGGTGATGTTCATGGTTTCTGTGTGTGTACCGGTGTGCACCTTCTTCATCCCTTCCACACTGGGCGTGGTGCTCTTCACCGTAGCCTTGGGCTTCCTGCTCAGCCTGGATTTCAGCCAGGTTGGGCCGCTTCTGCGGGCTTGCAGGATGGATGGCCAGTCTACAGATCTGTCTGCCAGATTGCCTTCTTCACTGGGATGGGGGCTGGGTTGGAGAGAGGTGCTGCTCCACCTGGTCCTGCTGCTCGGGGCTCTGACTGAGGCTGGGCTCCTCCACTACTTCCTGCCCTCACCCCAGGACTGGTCTGTGGGACCCCAGGCTGTTGCTGGCTACCTCTCACTAATTCTCTTTGTGATCAACTGGACTCTCCAAGAGGTCCAGGGTGTGTACCTCCTAGGAGGGGTCTTCCACAACCCTCTTTACCCCAAGGAAACAACCAACGTGAAGGTGTTCAAGGTGCAGAGTAAATGCCTTCGGATGGCTGGTATGATTAGAAGAGTGCTGGTCAATCTCGGTGAGGCTTTAGCTATTATTTACAGCAGTTTCTTAATCCAGTTCTTACAGTTCACATTTTTGATCCTTCCCAACTGTCACCACACCAGTTCCAGGCATTCGGCGATCTTGATTGGTTCATGTCTGTGGGGAGTTGGGAGGGAGCAAAAATGTGAACCATCTTGGGGTCCCTAAGGACTGGCTTGAGCAACATTGTTGCAATCCTGTTTTGAAGTCCCAGTGTGACCTGCTTTGAAATGATCTGTTCCCTCTCTGACGGCTCCCGCTACAGTGGCACCATTTGCCATGATTGCCTTTCTGGCTATGGACGGCTCCCTGCTGGCTCTGCACACGGCATCCCTCAGTGTGGGCTTCACCCGGGCTTTCAGAGCAGTGAGTGACTCCCCGATGAGCCAGCTAGCCCAAATGGGCTGAACGAAGCTGGCTGCTCTCACCTGGGCTTGAGCAAACCCAGGGGGCATAAGCAAAGCTCTATAGAATAGAGAGGCTTCTTCATAGCCAGTCACATGTCAGATATAACCCTTTACCTTGTCTCTCTCTCACAATAATATTTTTAATTAAAGAGAATGGTATGTTTTCCAGAGTTAATGTGTGTGACTTTTTTTTTTTTTTTAAAGAAACAAACGGCAGCACTTTACTTGAAGCAGTCTACATAAGGGTGACATGTAACCGTCATAAGAATGACATGACACATGTCATGCACATTAATGACACATTATTGATGTTTATAACTGTTGTCATAATGTGTCATTCAGTTCCAAAAACCGAATGACACATTATGACAACAGTGATGTTTATGACAACAGTCATAAACATCAATAATGTGTCATTAATGTGTCATGTCATTCTTATGACGGTTACATGTCACCCTTATGTAGACTGCTTCAAGTAAAGTGTTACCAAACAAACATTAAGGTAGAACAGAATCATACAGTTTGACCTGGAGTCAGGAGGGAGCAGCATGAGGTCATCAGCAGCCTCTCTGAGCCTCGTCTCCTTCCAGGTTTGGCAGAGCACCGAGCACCTGCTGTTCCAGGTGACGGTGGTGACCGTGGTGCGCCTCTTGGCGATGGGCTCTGAGCTGCCCTGGTGGGATGGCCTTGGGACGGGCGTCCAGCTCATTCTGGTAAGGCGGTTTTTGCCGCAAGGGGGGCCTGCAGGGCGAACGGCCTGGCACCGGTGACCCCTCCGCCCTCTCCTCAGGTGAGCTTGGCCAGCGACCGTCTGCTGCAGCTGACCTCCAAGGTGCGATTCGCCCTAACGGTGCTGGTGACCTCCTGGACGGAGAAGAAGCAGAGGCGGCAGTGGGCGGGCGCCCTCCTGGCCTTGAACGCCGCGTTCAGTCCCCTGCTGCTGTGCACGCTGGTCCTGTCGGCGCTGCTCTCCGCCCCGCTGCTCCCGCTCTTCACGCTGCCCGTCTTCCTGGTGGGATTCCCCCGGCCCCAGCGATGCTGGCCGGGCCCCGTGGGCACCGCATGCTCCTGCCCAGACTCCGTCTACTACCAGCAGATGAGCGGGAGCCTTGCAGCCGCCCTGCGGACCGCCTTTGCCGGGGGAGTGCTAGGTTCGTAACAGACCACCCGCTCTGCTCCAAACAGGGCAATCCAGACACAGTGAGCAGTTAACAGAACAAATGTGGAATGAGGGGGCCCATGCAGGAATGGCAGAGAACTTGCTGGCTCACAGCTCATTGCTCCACTATGAACGGTTCGATTCTGCAGGATAATACAGGATGTGATGTCTGGTCGCCGCTGGGTGGTGCACATAACAGACTGCGAGTCCAGTTTTTAACGTGGCACGTGGTGGGGGAGGGCTCACCATGTGACAAGCACTCCCCGGCCCGGACCACTGGCAAAAGGAGCTGCAATCGAATCATTCAGATTCTACTTACTTCCACATCGTTAGCACGGTAATGCGCTTAGCTGGCCTAGTTGGGGCGTCGTGCGGGTTAATTATTTAACGCCGATGCTGTCAATGCTGACGGCAGGGGGACATTATTTGCCAGGCAAACAACGGGGCTTGGATGTATAATGGGCCTTTTGATGGATGTTTGTTTCTCTCCCTCGCTCCCGAAGATGAAGCAGAACACACAGGGTGTTTGTTTTCGTCTCAAAGCCCCGATTCTCATCCCCAGTACCTGCTCCACATTCAGAAAGCCTTGATGGGCAGACAGCGGTACCCAGTTCTGTTAGTGGAGCATAGATTTACACCACAGTGTGACCAGAGGGACCACTGGAGAGCTCTCTGCGCTGAAACATGCTTTTTATGTGACCAAAAGAGATGGTCTACATGTCTGCCTTTCGACGGTCCACACAGACATTCTCCTAATGCTGCGGGACAGGACCGTGCAGTATGGGCCTCATGTCCTGATCTCAGCTTTCCAGACAGCTGGTGCTCAAACATTTGCGGCCGCCTGTCTGTCTGCAACCAACACACCTTCTGTGTGCCTCTCGCCTCGCAGGCCTTTCCAGTCCTGGGTCACACTTCCTCGGCCGTTTCCAGGATCGGATCGTGTGGATTAATGTCCTAGAGCAAGGCTTTGGGTACTGCTCAGTTAACATCAAGGTAGTACGATTTCAAACATTTCTGGGTTCACACAAATAATAATACACAGTTCTGTACTTAGTACTGTACACAGTACTTAGGCAGTAGAAATGTTAAAGGATACCTTTCTGGGTAAAAGGTGTATATTTGCTCAGAAAAAAAAAACAATTTAACAAAATTTCACTAAATGTATGCAAATTACCAGTGACACAATAAAAAATGAAGCAGGATTTCTTCTGTTCTTCAGAAAGTTACTGAGTTTTGCTTCCCGACCCCCCCTCAGGGGCATCTCAGCCATTCACCACCAGCTCTCTTAATTGACTTAACTGATTAAATAACTCAGTGAAGTATTGATTAGCCAAACAAGGTGGGGTAGTGGTCAGAAAATACATTGGGGTTATTGGACAGCAAGTACTACAGGAGAGGTTTTCAAAGGTCTTAGGTGACACGACATATCATCATAGTTTTAATAGGTCATTTACACATTTTCTTTGACTGCCTAAGACTTTTACACCATATTGTAGGGATTCGGCTCTGGTTGGATTCAATTTGGATCAATTTTAATATGCATTGAAGTGTCCTGTTACTCAAAATGTGTGTAGGTCTCCCCCACTCACTGTAACATACCTGTAGCCTGATGCTCTAAGGTACCCACCTTTGTTCCAGGGCTTGGAACTGCAGGAGACCTCGTGCCACACAGCTGAGGCGAGGCGCGTGGATGAGGTGTTTGAAAGTGCTTTTGAAGCTCCGGATGGTCTGGGACTCCCCACGGGCCTGAACCTGCACTGGGGCAATGCGATGACCCCCCGCGCCGCGCTGCCTGTCTGCACTTACTCCGACGCCCGGAGCGTGTTGACGGGAATCATCGACTCGCACACCAACCTGCGCCAGCTGAGAGACGACTTCCTGAAGGTCCTCGTGTGGGTGCTCCTGCAGTCCTGCGTCCGGGGCGGCAGGGCCTTCGTGGGCGGCCCTGGCTACAAGCCGGAGGGCAGCTTGCAGGACTCTGGGCCCCAGAGCCCAACGGAGGCCCCCTCTTCGGAGTGCCGCCAGGACAGCCCCAGCCTGAACTCACTGAGCGACTGGTCCGACGAGGACGACCTGTTCGGCCCGCAGCCGGCCAGGAAGACGACGGCACTGGTGAGTGTAGGGGCTCCCCTGCCGGCTGGTCCATCGCTTCCCGGGTCCGTGGAGTTAAACAGCCTCTACGGGGATGTGCCGCTCTCCGCCATTCAGCCCTTACGGCCACTGGGCCTAGGGCTTCCAGCCATGGATCGGGGCCAGGAGAGCGAAGTACCCGGCCTCGTGGGGTTCACCCCTCCCAGGGTGAAATTTGGCTCACCCCATGCAGATCTGTTGGAGCCGCCCCTAGCTTGGAGGGCCGCCCCTCTGGCCGCCTCACGTCCACAACAGCTGAGGCTGGCTTTTCCTGAGGAGTGGTTCCACTTCGTGTTAGGAAGGCTTGGGCCGGCCGGGCAGGGAGAGGCTCCCAAGCCGGTGGCCGAGGCTCTGCGGGAACTGCATGCGCAGGTGGCCCTGAACTGTTTGGTTGCACTGGGCGCCGAGACCACCACCCCCAGCCCCAGCTATGTGTACAGGGTCTACTGCGGGGACGTCCCCTGGACCGAAGGCCTTGACTGGCTCACCAGCAACAAAGAATTGTACCATCTCACGATGAAAGCGTTCAGGTATAGTCAGCGTCACCCCGAACACACGCACCATGAAGTCAGTGGGCGTAGAGCTGGGAAACACAACCCTACTTCCTGTGTCCAGGTACAGCTTCAAGCTGCTGTTGGACCAGGCAAGCCTGGGAGCCATAGGAGGCCCCGAGGAGCTTCTGAGCACCCTGGAGGAGTATGAACAAGACTGGTACATCGGCCTGGCGTCGGAGCACGGCTGGCGGGATGCCGTCCTGCAGGAGAAGCCTTTCCTTTTCTCCCTGGGTTACGACCTCACTATGGTAACATCTGGCTGTACCGTGTTAACGTCAAGGGAAGGGGGCATTGCGGTTTGTGGGGTCCAGCCCAGTAAGAAGCGCCTCTTTTCACAGGGCACCTACACAGGCCGTGTCCTCACACTGCAGGAGGTTCTGGTGCAGCTGGGCCACCTCAATGGGGAGGGGGTGCGGGGCCAGTGGGCCAACCTGTCCTGGGAGCTGCTGTACGCCACCAACGATGACGAGGAGCGCTACAGCATCCAGGCTCACCCCGTGCTCCTGCGCAACCTCACCGTGCAGGCCGCAGACCCACCGCTGGGGTACCCCATCTACTCTTCTGCTCCGCTGCACCTGCCCGTCTTCTGACACACAGCGCCGGTCAATCCACTCGGACGACGTGCATCGGCAGTGTTGGGATGGGGCCGTACCGGTCTGAGGGCATCCAGCCGTTGCCCATTCAGGCAGCACGCATTAGACACTGATTTTTAACTTGAGGAACATCTTACCCAGACTTCTTCTATAACACCACAAGAGCTCCAGCAAAATCAGGTTGAATTTTCATGTCATATGGAGTTAAGAGCAATTTCATAACCATACCTCCCGTGAATGTAAGCCCCTTCAAACGCACTTTTCACGTCAGCACTGACACATTCAGTTTTACGTCCTCGCCGAACAGAAGGTGCACTTAGAGGCACAAAGCTGTGAAAGAATGATCATGTACTCATACTCATGATGGTGTCCACTCAGATCTACATATGGGCTGTGACACAGCAACAGTTCCACAACAGTTTAGTGTCCTACTACAGAAATAGTTCCTATTAACAGAAGATTCTTAGTGCCATTTTGAAGCTGCAAGCAACCATCTTCATATATCAACAATCAGCCCAGTGCTTCCAATTTACTGTACGCCATCTCACAATCAGCTCCTGTTTCATTTAATGGTTCTCAGTCCAGAAAAGGGATTTTTTAGGAAAGCAAAGCATGTGCCTTGGTCTGTTTTTTGTACTGTTAATTTCAGGATTTACAGCTTAGTTTTTATTTTCAGAGCTGTGTTTTACAGGTGTTTACAGTCAAGGTTTCCTGTAAGAAGTGTCCTAAATGCCCCTTTTGTTTTAAGCTGTGATTCCTCTATACTGTGTATTGTATATAATTGTAAGATATAAATGGCTTTTTCACAGAAATATGGTTTTGCTTTATTTGTCAAAAGGCAAACGGCTTTCTGTTTATGAACATCAGCAAATACACAGGCCTATTAAACGCCCTCTAATTTGTTTAAGCAGCAATTGAGTTTAATGTAAATAACCTTGCGAGTCTCTCAAGACACACGTATCACTGAAGGCTGCGCTTGCCTCAAGCTGACGCGTTTGCCCGACCTTGAGAGCATCAGGCCCGCTGCCTGTGCGGGTTTACAGCCCATATGCCGTGAGCACATCAATCCGCCATCCTGGTTTTTGTTTTAGACCCGAGAGGAAAGCCAGAATCGACACGCTCTGAATGCGTCGCTGCGTGAAAATGGCAGCGCCGAGCAGGACGTGGCGATGCGCGATGCGGCAGCGCAGCTCGAGAGCGGCTCATTCAGGGGTAACGACATTAACCAGGAGCTGCCAAGCTAATGCGACGAGGCCCAGGGCCACTGCACCGGCAGACCTCCAGCGCTCTCATGCTTTTAATTTCAGTCTGATCATTTAGTGTGGCAATTACAGCTCAACTTAGGCTCACTGCGGGAGAGAGCTCAGCCGTGGCACGAGCGTGGGGGTCCGGTGTTCGCCAGACGCATGCCAGGCGCGCCTACTCACGGGGCCTTAAGTGCACACCACCCCCCTCCCCCCCCCGAGGCCGCCCTGCGACAATATCATCCTGCATTAGTGGACGCATTACGTCTCCACAAACCATCCTCGGAGAGGGGGGGGGGGGGCTGTTGTGAAACCGTGGAGGAGGAGGGGCCCCAAACAAAGAGCCAGGTCTATTAGACCTGTGGAACTGCTTATCCACCGGGTCCATTAGCAAGCATGACATTAAATCAGCCTTTGAACCATTTTTATTCTGATTTCAACATTCAAGGAACGGGAAAAGCACCACGGATCCACAGAGGCCAAGCTTTTTCTGATTTAAACAAACAAACAAAATGGAAGAAAAGGCCTCAGGACGTCTTGGGCTTTGTAAAGTAAGAGGAATCCGCATCCTGCGAAAAGAGAGAACAAGGTGATCACCGTTCCTGTGAGCAGCTGAGTGGTGTCAGAGGCAGGCCTGTACCCCACGCTACCCCTGCGCCTGGGGGCGGCAGGTCACCCAGTGCCTGCTGACAGTCTCCTGGAGGGTAAAGCCGGCCAGCCGGTGTGAGACACCTCAGTGTCTCGACGTCCCACCAAGCAGCCCCCCGATCTGCTCTCTCCACAAGGTCAGGGTGCTACCCTTCACACCAATGCTGATCATGCACCTCAACACATACCAATTTTCTGCCCAACCAGAGACTAGCTGATGATGATGCGACAAGCTCTGACTGGGATCAGGTAAAATCAGAAACGTCCCTAATGTTCCTAATGGCTGGATAAATCACCATTTATCTAATTGGTGCTCGACACACACTGACTAAGATGATCCAGAATTATAGGTTTGGCCTGGGCTATTCACTGCCTTGAATCCCCAGTTCTCTACTTATGGCCATATGTTTCCTAGCTAAAGACATGTGTGGCTCGTAGGAGTTTTACTTACACAAGAATGTTCTGAGGGCAGACTGAAAAATGATTGGTTATCTCTCTGAACCAATCAGATTGTAGAGGAGCTGGGTCCAAGCAACTAGAGGAGGCGGGACCAAGACATCTGTTTGGTTGGTCCTGCCTTCTGTAGTTGCTTGGACCCACCTCCTGTACAATCTGATTGGTTAACTCTCAGAACCAATCATTTTTCGTTCTGCCCTCATGAACATTTTTGTGTAAGTAAAACTCCCAGGAGCGCCTGTATGTCCTCAGGTACGACAATGACTCAGAGTTTGTATACCAACCAGTCCAGCCTTGAAGTTCTCCACTCTCCTTTTACCCAACATGCCAGTGACACTCCAGGCCCAGGTGGGTGTGTACTGCCACAGGTAGGACATGAGCAGGAACGGCTGCTGACCGATCCACATCTCCTTCACCTGATTGGCTATGCCCACCAACATCAAGCGCACGCACCGCGAGGTGGCCATCTTGTGGCTTTGATCTCCTGCAACAGTTACCGGCTGAATGGGGGCGAGACAGAAAGCAGGATGCGCTTCAGCATAGATCCCTCCATGCACGGCTTCCTGGACGTCCAAACCTCCCGCTTCCCCAAAAGTTAACGCACCTGGCCCAATTCCTCCGTCAAGGCATTTTGGACGATGGCAGATTGCACAGGCCCTGGACATACAGTGCTTATGGTGATCCCGGGGTAGTCTGCCAGCTCGGTGCGCAGCGAGTTGAAAAAACCCTAAAAGGAAAAAAAAAAAATCATGGCGATGAGATGATGAAAGGTGATTGACAGGACAAACCCACCAATCGCAGACCAGCGAGTCCTTGGCACCCTCCCACCCTCCTGCTACTACAGAAGTTAAGCTAATGATTCCTGCGGCTCCGTGAGCATCTCACCCGCTGGGCATGCTTGCTAGCAGAGTAGCCAGTGACCAGGGGTGCCCCTGCCAGGCCCACCACACTGCTGACCGCCACCAGGGCGCCAGTGCCCCGCTGCATCATGTGCGGCAACACGTGTTTGGTGACCGACACGGTGCCCAGATAGTTGATGTCCATCAGAGCCTGGATAACTTCCAGATTTGTGTCCTGGAACAGGGAGCGCTGACTGCGCCCCCCATTGTTGATCAGGATGTCAATCTGTAAAAAAAACAGGGGGTACATTTAGCTGGGCAGTTCTCGCACCCAAACACATTTTTTACATATTTTTTACCCCCCTTTTACATATTTATTCAGTTCCCATCTACCCGATTGACTGCAATTTCCCACAGAACCTTCTAAAAGCTGCAATCACTGTTGCACTTTACGTCACTGTGCCCTTGTTCAACTGCCCTGTGTGCCTTAATTGCCCCTCCTGGACAAATAAAGTTTTTTGAATTTGAATTTAACGACGCACACGTGTTGCACTCAACAGGATGTGCACTCATAATACGAGCACTGGCTTAGAGTGACAGGGGCACCACAGCTGTCCATGGTATTCGGGAGTCTGTTTATAGGATTCTGCAGGTGGCCAGAGTGTGTGACTGCTGACCAGGACAGTAGCTGCAATCTATATCTCAGTGCAAGCTCAGCTAAGCTACAATCTACCAGACCACTCCAATGGACTGAGGCTGACACTCGCTCATCAGATCAGAGCCGTACAAGTGTGACCCCGAAATAACCCTGCGCACGCTGGCAGGCACGACGACAGGCAGAGACATGAACACTTCCTGGTTGGCGTGCTTGTCAGATACAAGGAAACCGTGTACGGCACATTCTGTACACACAGCGAACACCCTCCACGTGGGTCAGACTGGCTGGGCAAATAGTGGAGAGCCGCTGAAATGCCTTGAAATGGCAAATGCGAAGTGCATCAGAAGTAAATACAAATGGAAAGAGAGTGGGAGCAAATTAATAATTCATCCCCATTGCCTTACATTGCCAAAGTGCTGTATTGCGACCCCCGTTTTAGCAGCATGAGTGTCTCGCTCCAGCAAGTCAAGGGGAAGGACCAAAATGTCCCCTTCCTTCAAACTGCTGAGCTCTGCAAATGCAAAGGAGAAGTGCTGTCATGACAAAGCAGGGCAGCTGCAGGTCTCCCAACACAACCGGAGGGCTAACGCCCTTTTCCTCTTAGAAAAACATACAAAACATTTTTACACTGTCATGATGAGCCACTGAAACTGACAGCAGACAATGTGACAGTCCAGGTCCATCTTCTCACTGCTGGCTTACCCAAACAACGGTTCTTCACCTTCTGCAGCGCACCCACCCGCGGCGCAGAAATGATCAGGCGAGCCCCCAGGCTTGCTAGCTGATAGGCCAGCTCCTCTCCTATGCCACTGGAAGCCCCCGTAATCCAAACCACCTTTCCCCGCAATGTACTCTCTGGGGGCCAGAGAGGGACAGCAGCCAAATCAGGATCAAGGGCAAACATACAAGCAAAGTTAAGTGAGGACACCACTTTGAAACGGAGGGTAGAATTATCACAGGGTACATACAGCATCAAGTACATTGTGTGCGGCCCCTTAGATTAGCGGCTCCCAACCTTTTGATGTACGCTGACTTGTTTATATCGCAAAAAAAAATTCACGGACAGAGAAAACCGTCGATCGGGGATTTCATAAGTTTAACCATGCGAACAGGGGGGGAAAAAAAGTTTATTCTGAAAAATGTACCAACCCCACCGCAAACCCCCCTGCGTTCCGCGGCCGGGTGGAATATTGGCAATGGACCGGGGTTTGGGAATGCCCACCCTGGACCTTGTGAGTTACTTACACCGTGACTTAAGAAGCATCACTGGATAAACATTTTTTCGGTATGAAAGACTGCACGAGCACTATGTAAGTACTCTCTGTGCCTTATGGGACACCCTAAGTTTAGAATAAGTGATAGTATGACGAGACTTGACTCTGTCTAGAAATCACACTGCCTTTGTGCAAGAGTAGCGGTATTAAACACGTCAGAGGGAGGACGCCGGAATTCTGCATGTCAAACGGCCAAACTACACTGCAAATTACAACCCAAATTAGACAGTTTCGCTCACAAAGCAAAAATTTGACCCATTAACATGGTTGCCAGCTGCGGTCAGCTGGATGACGTGAAATTTTTAAGTCTGCACACGCATTGATATGCATGTAACAGTTTTATTACCTTGTAAATAGTGTGCAGGGTTTTCAAACTACCCCAACGCTTATGAAGTAGCTTGGGTTTATAATGTAACGATACAGATTTGCCGTAAGATTCCTTGAATGAGTGTCAGAGTCTGAAAGGGTGAGTGTCACGCCAGATGCTTGAGAGCTGGCAACCCTGCAGTAAACAACTTAAACTCTGCAGCATCGGCAACATGAAGAAAGATCGAAGCCCTCCCGCTGAAGCACATAGACGGAGATTAGGCTACCTGGCCTCTTTCCAAACGCCACCAACCAGAGCAAAGTCAGATCGGCGTCCGCAAAGATGAAACGAATCACCTGAACGAGCAAGTACAGCGCTGTGCCGAGGCACAGCAAGGTCGCCACACAGCAATCCATTGATCGGGATCTATAAATAAAAAGTCGTGTAGAGCAAAGAACTGTCAACATTAACACAGAGACCGGCCACAATGCGCGCTGTGGAACGGCAGTCTCCGTTTGTACTTTTTTGTCACCGTAGATCATACTGTGTCTGACAATATTGGTATTCAGTGAATCGTTTCTCGTGAACAGACGCTGCTTAATAAGAGCGTACGCGTCTCAAAGTATCACGTCCAGTTTCTGACTTATCAGAAACCGAGTTCGAATCAAAGTCTGAGTATTATAACACCGCTAAAAACGTTAGACCGATTTCAGTGGCAATATTGCACAAAACTAAGAAAATCATTAAGTTAACAAGCAAACTGATGGAACATTAATTCATAAATAACTGTGGATCAGATATCTCCTATGCATTTAAAATGTAAGAACTAAAATGTACGCCACTACTACACATATAAGCATCACTACTACACATATAAGCATCACATCTACTCACCCAAAACACAAAAAATGAACCAATCCGGAAGTACCGCGCAGTACGGGAAGTAAATACTGCCGTTTTCCCACGCCCCTTGTACTTGTAGTTTATCGCAACAAAATTACAACAATATTTTATGTATGCTTTAACTGGCGAATAATGTCTATCCCGCATTGTAACGATAATCTACAACAATTTAGTAAACAATAGGTCTAAATAACCACAATAGCAGTTTTAGCAGTAGTACTAGTACAATTTCATGGGCCTAACAACAACAATACAAATTATTATTATTAATGTTGTTCTTATATGTCATAACATTGGATGTTTGACAAACTTTATCCATGGTCTGTCTATTAAATAGAACGAAAAGATGTATGCAAATATACTATATTTAGAATTTTTTTATCTGATTAAAATTTGATGTAGTAGTCATGGAAAAAAACTATGACCTTAAATGATTAGGCTGATAGGCTGTGGCTGATTGAAAGATAACCACTTTAAAACGCTACACGTACAGCGGATAAAGGTATATTTTTAGCAGCGTATTCTTACTGGTACAGTCGTAATTAGGTTAGTTGTTACTTGAGCCGATTTAACTGCCTGACTCCTTTATCCGTTCACTTCTTTAGATAGTTGTACAGAATCTACTTCCTATTATAGGAACTGTTATGTCCATAGGCTTGTTCCTTAAATAATGAGCAGAATGATATTTTCCTACTAAAGACAACCTGTCTTGTTTAATGAAATACTTAGGTTAGGTGTCATGTTTCGGAAGACGTTGGGCTTCTACTTCTTTAATAAAAAAACAACTAACGCCTGTAATTAACGCAATTTCTTAGCAAAATTAACAAAAGCTTCAAAAGTATTCAAACAGGACAAAGGAAAAATGAATCAAGGCGTGGCATAACCATTGCACCATGAGTGCGTGTGTTTTATAATTAATGAAAAATAAACTTGAATTGAATGAACTCGGCGCACCAGGACAGAGGCGCGCTCCTGCTTGCCGGTGGTGATGTCATCCTCTTTAGCATCCGGGTCTCGGGCCGCCGTGTCGGGTTTGCTGGCTGGCTGGCGGAGGGCTGGGGGGTTCGTCGCTATCAGCCGCTGGCCTGGAGTACCAGATCCCATAAAAACATCTTTAGGGTTTCGTGACACGTCCAAGCGATGCGACTCTGGCTCGTCCGTCGGGGGGCGTTTTTCTCTTTTACAGTCTGATCGCACTGAAACGTGTTTTACTTTTTCTCCTCTTTCCCTTCCAGCTGTCGCTTCTTGGCTGTTTTTCTCCTCGGTACTTTTCTTTTCCACCGGGGCCGGTTTGTTAGTGTGTATGTGTGCGGTTTTTCTTGTTTTCCTTTTTTTAAAAATTCTATACGAAGCAGACCTCATTCTGGATCTCGGTAAGTGACAATCGGGTTCTGGCACCAATAGTTAGACCGTTTTGGGGGACTCATTCGGACAGGGGTCTTGGGAGGGGGGCGAGGCCGGCTGAGCGAGGGGACCCCCGGCCTCAGTGACTGAATTGGCCGTGGGATCGGTGGTAAACAGTCAGGGAAATAGAAAAGCCTGTTAGGACCGTGGCATCAAGGCTCTGCGTGATACAGCCCCGAATGCACGTCCAGTGCCCAAGAAGCGCATGTTGAATTACGAGTTGACGCCAGTTACCAGCTGAACTAACCGTCTAGAACCTTTCCGTGTTGCGTGGCGGAGGCATTTGGTCCGCTTTTATTTTTAGGGACGAAGCCACAGCTGCCTCGTTTAAATCCCGAAGCTCAGTTAAAACCCGGGCTTCGCAAAGGGGTCACGTCACTGGGGTTATTTTCTGACATGTGCTAAGCGCGTGTTTGCGACGCTGATCTTGTAAAACAAAGCGCCTGCTTACTGTATTGTTAAATGTGTTTTAGAAATTAGTAGTGTGCTGTGTGAATGGCCTTTAGTGGGTGTTTTATTTCTGTGCGTGTGATTTTGCTATGCCAATGAAAGGACATGTTTTTGGGCAATGCAATTAATAATGAAATGGCGTATTCCTTGACCAGTAGTTACTATTTATATGTGCAATTTGTGTACATACTGTTCTATGACTGATAAAACCTTTTAGTATGAAATATTAATTTAAAATACCTGTGGATTTTTAATACAAAGAAGTTTAAACCTATAGATTTCTTTTTGATTTTAGTCCACAGACACAGGGTATTTTCTAATTTTTCTGTTTCTCCAGACTAGAGGGAGTTGAAAATGGGGGCATTTCTGGACAAGCCAAAGATGGAGAAGCACAACGCTCATGGGGAGGGTAACAGTCTCCGCTATGGCCTGAGCAGCATGCAGGGCTGGCGGGTGGAGATGGAGGACGCCCACACGGCCGTCGTGGGACTGCCCAATGGCCTGAACGCCTGGTCCTTCTTTGCGGTGTACGACGGGCACGCTGGATCCCAGGTGGCGCGGTACTGCTGCGAGCACCTGCTGGAGCACATCACCAGCAACCCGGACTTCCGCGGCGGCGGAGGCGGCGGCGGCGAGCCCTCGGTGGAGAGCGTCAAGAGCGGCATTCGGACGGGCTTCCTGCAGATCGACGAGCACATGCGTGCCATCTCGGAGAAGAAGCACGGCGCCGACCGTAGCGGCTCCACTGCCGTGGGCGTGCTGGTCTCGCCGCGGCACATCTACTTCATCAACTGCGGCGACTCCCGGGCCCTGCTCAGCCGCGCCGGCCGCGTACACTTCTTCACACAGGACCACAAGCCCAGCAACCCGCTGGAGAAGGAGCGCATTCAGAACGCCGGCGGCTCTGTCATGATCCAGCGCGTCAACGGATCGCTGGCCGTCTCGCGGGCCCTCGGCGACTTCGACTACAAGTGCGTCCACGGCAAGGGCCCCACGGAGCAGCTGGTGTCTCCGGAGCCCGAGGTGTACGAGATCGAGAGGTCGACCGCCGACGAGTTCATCATCCTGGCCTGTGATGGCATCTGGGACGTCATGGCCAACGAGGAGCTCTGCGACTTTGTCAGGTCCCGGCTGGAGGTCACGGAGGACCTGGAGAAGGTCTGCAACGAGATCGTGGACACCTGTCTCTACAAGGTAAGGTCAACCCGGTGATGTTTGGCCAGCAAGATGAGCAGGAATTTCCTAGCGTTCAACATGAGACGATCACTCAAGTTCAGGACTTGAGTTTCCAGAATGCTGAATAGGATGGAGCATTCTGCATGATACCATAGATCAGTGGTCTTCACTGGTGGCCCATGACTGAATTAAAAAATAAGCAAATTATCCTGACTGTAGATTTATTAATTTTTTTTCCAACTTTTTAAAATTATTTTTTAATATAGACACAATACAACTTCCCCATTTAAAGTGCAGAAATGTAGTTAACTAGCAATCAAGTGAAGCAGCATCAAGATTACTTTAAAAAGGTAAATGGAGGTCCCCAACCCCCCCTCTCCATGCTGCAGTGAAGAACACTACCATAGATATACGCTAGATTTCAGCAGATGTTGCAGTGCATCATGGGACTGCTGGGCTGGGGAGGTGGGCTCAGCGTGGTTACCGGGCCCTTCTGTTTCAGGGGAGCCGGGACAACATGAGCGTGGTTCTGGTCTGCATGCCTGGCGCGCCCAAGGTTTCCCCGGAGGCCGTGAAGAAGGAGGCCGAGCTGGATAAGTACCTGGAGAGCAGAGTGGAAGGTGGAGCGCCTAGAAAGGCTAGCAAATAGCTGCACGTCACTGAGTCTCGCACTGGGCGGCACCCGCTAGATAATCCAGCTGTCAGCGAATCCCGTCATAGCTGCATCATACCCACAGGATACCTGTGTTTGGGGTTAGGCTTCCCCAGCTGACTCGTGTACATACAGCACAATAAAAAGACCGTCTCTGTGTACGAGAAAATAAGCTAAACTGGGCCTTAAAGGAAACCTTTTCCCCTTACTGAGGAGAATGGCCTTCGTTTGATTCGCCAAAGGACCCGGAGCAGTTCGCTTCATAGCGACAGCAGGGGTAACCGTTTGCTGCATCTTCTTTAGTAACCCTCCACACACACACACACACACACACACACACACCTGGTGCAGAATGCCGTGCCTGCATCCACTCTGCTGACATCACTGTGTCCGTTTCCCGGTACAGAGGTGCGGCGATAACATACACACCCTGCAGAAAGCTTCAGGACATATTGCCATCATAGAGGTGTTGTCAAAGCTGCTATATTTAAAAGTTGCTTCCGTAGGTTAGAGACGAGACGGAAAAGGTTTTTTTTTTTTTATATATATATGCAAAGATGTACATTGTTATATTATTTAATATTCAAGTGTAAACCATAGCCTTATTGTTTTAACAAAACTATATTTACAAGTATGCATTGAATGTTAATTTGCACATTTTAAATTGTGACGTTAGACACTGCAGTAATAAGAGGGTACATTATAGGTTAGTGTGTGAGAGAAGGAAGGCTAGTGTTAACATGCTGTTTCCATTCCAAAGACACGCTTTTTGCCTAAATCAGTCTCGGGGGTCTGGGGCATTCCAGGCAGCCTGTAGGGCGGCGCTGTTGTACCAGTGCTGAAGCAGGTGTGGTGACTGACCTGTCACATCTTTTCATCAGTGTAGTTCCTTGCTAATAAAGGTCAGAAGTCCAGACTGGGTCATGTATCTCAGAGTAGAAGCACTGAAAAACAGAATGATGGTGGTCAAAAGATTACTTTGAGTTGACCTTGGGCTGAGTCTGGCAGAGAGGGAAAAAAAATGGTTAGAGTGTAATGTATTTGCAACCCATCACCAAAGCAGTACTGCAAAGGTTTACAGTTAAATTAAATTAGCCGCGCCTATATTCCATGTGCTCTTAAAGTACAGAAACACAAAGCTACCAGTGAACCAAAAATAATAATAATAGAGGGTGTGTAAGGAGGATCGTCGTGGATCTTAGTGGCTGTAGATTGAACATTAGTGAAGCTGTTTTGCTTGGTGATGAAGAGGAATGTTTATAACCATTTGATACTTTTTTTTTTTTTTTACAAAGATGTGAAATGTAACGACATACATTGTCAGAGGAGGTTTGTTTCAAACCATTACTGAGAGTTCCAGAACTCGTGTGCCGATGAGGTGGAACAATTGAAATCAGTACAGTCCTGCTCTTACTGGTATTTCTTTCCTATTTGTATTTTCATTAGACAAGTCATTCTTGCATCTGAAGGTGTTTACACCCTCCAAGGGGGGAGGGGGGGAGCGGAACAGCAAGAGAGGGTGGGAGAGTGTCTGGGACAGCCCTAATGAATAACCTTGAATGTGAGGGAAGAGGCTTGTGAGGGTGAGTGAAGACCACAGAGTATCAGTGGAGATGGTCCCTGGAGTAGGGAGATCCTCCCTTTGTTCAAGGTGTGGACTAAAGTCTGGATTGTACATATTGTGGATTCTGATTGGCTGATTTGCCCAGGATGTGAGGGGCACAGGTTCAGGCTTGGCATGTTGTGTCAGTAGGTCAAGTGAGTTCATTTTAACAGCAAGCCTGCTCATTTTAACATTCCTCTAAAATGGGATACCTACTAGCCATTGTATTGTAAAGTCACCCCCATTTTGTGTTTGGTACAAATTTCACAGATGTTATCAAGTCTCAGCATACAAACAGAATACTGCTCCACCAGTCATATTTTGTGATCTTCTATGTTACTTTGAGCAGTGGGTAGACATGCCCCTAGTTCATCAGCATCCTGACATTTCAAAGTAATGGGTCCCTGCAACCCATTTAATGACATGGTCACCATTTGGGCTCCCATGCACCATTAAATCATCAGTTCACAAGGACGAGACTAAACTAGGCCTCACATGTTTAGTCGTAGTATTAAGGTACTTCCCAATAGCAGCCAAAGGCCAGTATCCAGAAAATAAGGGATGTTTGTATTGGGTTGTTCAGTTTTTTTTTTCCTTTGAAATTGTTTTCTATTTTTCAAGTATTTTTGAAACTGTTTTTTGCCCTGTATCTATGTGAGGTTAGTTCTTAGTTTATTTTTATTTTTGTACTTTAGACGCTCCATATTATACATGTAGAGAATAACTGTGATGTTATTTTAGATGTTAACGGTGATTCTAATAAACACTTGCTGAAATGATTCTGACATCTTTGGCTTCTTTTTATTCAAAATGCAGATTGAGATCCGACCAGGTTCTTTCCCTTTAACCATTTACGGCAGAGGAGAGCTGTTTTCTAAAGCGATATCCTCAGAGCTATTAAGGGGATGTAAATGAACAGTATGACACACAGAGGAGTCCAAGTCAAGGAGCCTGTGAATGTAGTGTCTGCAGAGGGTTAGGGGTGAGGTCAGGGAGGGCGACCCGGAGGTCTGTGTCACCAGTGCTGGGGTAGGGGTCTCTTTTGTTTCTCTGTACCTGTGCATGTTTGCTGTGAGGGACACATTTACCAAGCAGTGCTTCTGCTCCCCAGAAATCATTAAGAAGCAGGGCGAAGACGCCCCTCCGGACTTAGTCCACGTGATGCGCACATTAGCTGCCGAGAGCATCCCCCACCTTCCGCCAGGGGGAGAGTTGGCCAGCAAGTGAGTGAATCCCCCCCCCCACCCACTGACCCCACATGCAACAGCGCCCCTGCTGACTTCACATACACACAAAGCCATGCCTCTGAAATGTGACATCTGAAACCTTGGGGTAGGAAGGTCACTGTGGGGACTGTGGCCATGGCAACCAAGCCTTACCCATTGGTCTATTCAGAACCAAGTAAGGAAGGGTGGGGGGGGGTTTAGCGGTAGGTTTATATGGAGATGTCTTTCAGGTTTGGAATTATCCTTGATTTTAAATGTAGTTTCTGGAAATCCTTAAAGCACGCCATGCTGAAATGGTTGTGTGATGAAGTCTTTTGAGCTGTGAACCCATTGTGGTCCCGTTACTAATTTAAGGGCTTCTGGAGACGGATGGGGCTGGATGAAGAAGCCAATGTGTCCTCAGTCAGGCATATGGGGACTGAACTCCTCTAACATGCCTCTTCTGGGATTACAACCCAGGTTGCCATCAGAATTAGTATTTAAAACAAAAAAAGAAGGAAATACTACAGGTACAGAGAACAGTAGGAGATGTGTAAGCGGGTGTTGCTTACTGGAGAAGAGTAACCTGCCTGCGTGTCTCTCTGTCTACCCCAGAAGGAGTATCATCGAGGCCATATACAACAGACTTAACCCATACCGCTCCGACGATACGGTGAGTATGGCCCTCTTTTCCGAGGCTGCCCCCGTCAGTGCCTGCAAGGGTGTGCGCTTGTGGTGATGGGCAGAATGTTCCTCATGACACTGGACAGATGCTTGGTTTGGGAGCTCGGCCTAACTAACACGTGCAACCAAACTGACGGATATCTGTGTCAACCCAGCCCAAAACTGAAGCTGAGCCTAACTGGGCTTACTTCATTTCAGTGACAACATGAGTAGGGATCCGGTCCTTCCTCAACTACTGTATGTGTACGTCTCTCTTTAATCTGCTCCAACGCTGATTCCGAAAGACATCCAGCTGAGGCCTGTATCATTTAACTGGATCAATGGAGTCCGATTTCGAAGATAAGTTCCAGTTTGACTTAACCAAACAAATTAAATCTGAGAAACGGTATCATGACACTGACTATCAGCAATTTATATCAAGCCGGGTTTCCTTACTAAAACCAAGATTACTTCCTGAGCACATGCACATAACGGTGTACCATGTGCAACAATCAGCCAATCACGTAAGCATGGATCGCAGCAGGGCTACGTATTTCAATGCAGCGGAACAGAGACTTATTATGATAATATATGAAGAATTCTAAAGAACGATAATGGTGAAGAGCAACACTGCGGCAGCCGCCGGCGATAGAGCGCCATGTTGGCAGCGGACAGCGACAGCGAAAATGCACACGTACAGTTTGATTGTCGTTAAGATAATTGTCTTAATTTCCAAACGTGTTTTATGCTTTTCATAATTATTCCAAGACTTTTTATTCGCATTCGTAATACCGTTTTCATTACTTAGTGTTAAATAAACTTGTCACCTTTCAAGGCAGGCAGAGGGTTATTTGCTTGGGAAGACAACAGAAGCGTTAACATTTTAGCTGAGTGACGTCCATGTTCATTTATAATTACACCGTTCAAAATGGAAGGGGTTCAATAAATGGACTAATGACCATAAAACTAAATGAGATAGACATGTTCAGTACAGGTTATATCAACGGACTATAGGGTACAATTCACACTACTTTCTGCATGTCTATATATCTTCACTAATAATTGCACTGTGTCAATCCACCACCTCTTACAAAGAAAACAGCTACTGAATGTGAAATGCACATGCAAACATTCATATATTAATTACGATTCACCGGTAAAGTAATCTGGAAAACCAAGGGCTGTGCAAGAGTGGCTATCAGCTCACAATGCCGAACCAATATCCCCTTCCAGTAGAGATTGCCGCTTCTCAAAGATATTAAGATTTAGCACATATAGCGAAAAGGCTCAAAATGCAAAAATGATTAGTGTGCGTCTCTGCCTGTGGACATCAAAGGTCTGTGATTAAAAACTTCCTGGCTTGATTGTTGAAAAATATGACAGCTGGAAGACTGAATAACAAGTATAAAGTTAACTGTACCACAGACACTGGATTTTCATGGACGTGCCAGTTTGGGAAAGGCAGTTTGTTATGTCGGGTAATATACCGACCTCTTCCCTTTTATTGGCCCAAGAGCTGTTTGAGATCTGTGATCCTGAAAGCTAACCTGCTCCGGAGCAGGTCTGGTGTGTAGCATTCAGTTACCGTAGTGATGTGTCCCACGAAGAGAACCAGCGTGGTGATATCGACAAGCCAGAGTTATCGACAAGCCGCTACTTATCCTCAAAATTATCCACCTAAGCAAGGAATCTGATCTCGTGATACTGGCCCCTGGTCGTGAGCAGACCTGATAGTGTATCAGGTTACTAAACGCTTGTTTAGAGGTAGCTAATGAAAAGAATGGGTGAACAAAATAGGTCAGTTCACTTACTCAGTCACCATTACCTTCATTATTTACTACCCACATTATAATGTCCTCTGAGTAACTCGAGTGTTATTTGTGCCACTGCTGTTCATGCTCAGTGCTGCCCCCTGCAGGCATAATTTATAATATTAAAAGTTCCATCACCACATACATTCAGTATGAGCTGAGGTCGGCCGGCACAGCATTTTCTGTGGGGAATCCATCATCTGTATCACTCGGCATTCTTGCCTAAATGTGGATGGGGGGGTGTGGTCAGGCAGGGAAGCCTGTCAGTCATGCGCTTTCTCACTGCCTTCCAGTCAGGGGTGCCCGGACGCGCCCGTCCAAGCGAAGCCTCCCGACTCTGAAAGGACCTTCCTGCTTTCTTTCCGAAGGACTCGGCTGCCGACATGGTAGCATAGCCTGCGCCAGCACAGCATTCGCAAAACGGCCACAGAGACCATGGCGCGACACTCCCCCACCCCGTAGCGGTTTTGTCTGAAGGGGGGGGGGTGGCATAAGGGGGAAAGAGATGTACACAGGTTCGCTGCTCAGCAGGCCATGCTCAGTCTCGCCACTTTAAAACGTTCGACAAATAAAAATAAAAAATCCCACATTTACCCATTTCCACAGCCGCTGCGTTTTTATCATTTTAATAAGCTGTTCCTGTAATCCTCTCGATTTTTGTTATTTTTCCTTCGCGTCTTTATATTATTCTGTTTTTCTGAATCCTGTGTTTGATGAAGGTCAACCAGTAAGCCCGCCCCCCCATCCTTCCCCTCCTCTCAGGGAGTGCAGCTGGGGGTTAACCGTACCTTTTATTTTCCCTCGTCATTTTTCTCCCATGTTTTTCGCATCCTCACCCGTGGCTGTGACATCATTGTTGCATCATCTTCACAGTGACCCTAATATCTTGGGACATATATCCTGCTCTCCATGGCTTCTGTCGCCTATCACCAAGGTATTACTTTTGGGTAATGGGGTATCTAATGTAGATACGCAAACACAGACATCTTTATACACTCATTGACTGGTTTGATGCACCTGCTTGTTAATGCAAACAGCAAATCATGTGACTGTACACAGACGGGTTGACATTTATTGTGTGACTGAGCATTAGAACAGCGAAAATGCCTGATCCATTTGTTGACCTGCTTAGGGGAACAGATACGCCTATTTTCTACTGCTAACTAACACTCATTTTCACTAAGGAGGAACATCAGAGTACAATGGTACCTGGAAGTGGATAGTTCTGGTCCAGAAAGGAAAAACCCAGACCAATGAGTGAATGAATGAAAGTTACATTTATATGGTGCTTTTCAAGAACCAATAGCACTTTACAGAACCAATGGGGAGCAACTTCAACCACCCCCACTGTGTAGCCCCCACCTGGATGATGAGACGGCAGCCATTCTGCACCAGTACGCTCATCACATAGTGGCTAAGGTGGTGGGGGGGGGGGCAGGAGAGAATTCACCAGTTAGATATAGGGGGTGATTTGGAGGCCAGATCTGAAAGGGCCACAATGGACTATCTAGCCAGGACATCGAGGTACCTACTCTTTTGATGGATGCCCAGGGATCTTTTATCACCTCAAAGAGTCAGGACCTCGGTTTTATGTCTCATCCAAAGGGCAGCACTGCTTGACCAGCACAGTGTCCCGATCACTGCACTGGGACATCGGGACCCACACAGAGCACAGGACGCACGACCTTGTTGGCTGCAGCACCACCACTTCACACAGACCACAGACCAAGATTGTGTTTCAACCAACCAGTTGAGCATAAAGAGCCACAGTCACAGAGACCTCTGGTTGGTTGGAACAAAGCCTTGGTCTGGATTTGTACTTTCTGGACATTCTGAACTATCAACCTCTGGTTGTCTGTAGGGCAGTCAGACTGAATCCCTCCGTGAGGATAGTCATATATAATATAAATATAAACTATAAGAAAACATTTTCTTAAACTGAAATATGAAAATAATACTCTACAATCAAATGAAAACTATGCATGTTGCATTCAAAACTAACTAAAATAAAAACAAACATATACTTTCTGATGCTGTTTTAAAATAATATTTAGCAAAAATAATTAGTTTCTTTTTCATTACCATTAATAACACCTGGAACATGTTTTACCCATTTTGAGAACATTAGTGCATAATTTGCAATGTGCATGTAGGATTCCTTAATGATCAGACACATCAAATAGCTGCAGAACTTTCAGTCTGTCCCTAGAAATGAAATTCCTAAAGCTTAAACTGAAACTAAAATAGATAATAACTAAATAGAAGTAAATCTTTCAAATAGAAACTAATAGAATCACACTGACAACTAAAACTAAGCTGGATTTCAAATGACAATTTAAAACATAAAAATATAAACTGAATTTAAAAAAAAATCAAAACTATAACAACACCAGTACACAGACCCCCCCCCTCCCCAACCCCCCCTCCATATCGTCATATCGGCCATATGTCAGGTGAAACGTGTTCAGTTACTGTTAGAAGTGGTCACTGTCCTAACTAGCTGGTCCACTTTCAAACTGGCTCTTCACCCTCGTGTAGCTTGAAGCAGTCGGACCAGTTTTCCCCGTTTGTGGATCCATTTGCAGCGCGATTAATGCCATCACAGGGACACTGGTGAACGAGCGTGTGATAGGCAGTCTGCCGGCTCCTCATTGGCTGGCTCACTGTGCTCCGTCCACACAGGTTCTTTTAAACATAAGCTAACAGCCTGAGGGTGCAGCTCCACCAGTCCCTCTGTTTTCTCCTTGATGAAACTTTTTAAATGTACCGCATTAATGGATTATGAAAGGAGCAATTTGCAGACATCTGCCTGCTGCCGACCAATGACACGTCCCCTTACATCAGCCGCATTCCGCTGCCCCCTGAGTTACCTGTCACAGGGGGGGGCAGTCCCCCCCCGCCCCGTCCCCCCTATTTTCCTGTAATGGATTGTTCCTGGTCACGCTCTTATTTTTACGCACTAATTTTTCTTATGCCCAAAATATTCTCATTTAATATTTATCTGTAAAAATGAGTACCAACACAATTATTACTCACTAAATGTTCGTACAGCTTAACGCACTGAAATCATTCTAGAAAATTCAGTCGGCGTCACATCCTGCCAGCTCCCAGTAGCTCGGCTCCCCGCACAGGTCGCTGCACCGAGGCTACAGCCAAACGGGGGCATGTCAGCCCCCCCCCCCCATTTAGTGACTGTTGCCATACCAACGTACCTGGCATGCTAAATTGTGTACTTCAGAACTACAAATTCATAAGAAACGGCGCGTGTTTTGGACCGCGGCCAAAAAAGGCATCATCGTGTTCAGTTATTACAAAAAAAAAATAAAAATCAATGGCCTTTTGTCGGTAGAGAGGGCCCCCATCGCAATGCGCTGAGTGCTGTGTTGAGCTGCCACCGCATTGCATTCTGACCGTCGAGGTCCTCAGAGGGTCTCCCTGCTACCTCCCCCTGCCCAGGGTCCTCTGTGGCCCAGCAGCCCTGTGCCCCCGGAGGCGGCTCCTCACCCATCAAGCTATGGCTCCCAGCCGCCCTGCTAGCTGCATAAATGAGGCCTCATTAATCCATTCAGCAAGGGCTTGGCCACCTCTCAACACAGAAACCTTGACAGATTTCTGGCTGCAAATTAACGGTTTAATACATGCTGCCTTTTGACAGCTGGTCTGTTTCACCTGAATGAATTGCCTCCCCTTCCCCCTCTGTTTTTTTTTTTTCTCCTTGCTTACATCTGAAAATAAATTAAAGATTTTCAGGCTCTGAGCTTCATCCAGTGTGAAGTTGCATTCAAGTTCTCAGAACAAAAAGAATAAAAGGCCAGATATGAGTTTTGCGATGGAAATCTGCACTCAGCATGATCAGTCGTATAAACAGCTCTTTCTGAAAATGTAAGGGCTCCTCCCGCCTCCTGTGTAATTGCAGCAATTTCTTTAATCAGGGGGGTCAACGCAGGATGAAGTCAGGGTCTAATTTCACAACTGTCTGAGAATTGTTACGTCTTTTGTTGATAATCTGTAATGTCAGAGCTGAATTTCCCATGCTGTGTGTGTTTTTAAATCATAATATGGGATGAGAATTCCATTTGTGTGCTGTAATCGGCTTGGGGGGTGGGGGTAAGGTACGTGATAAAGGTGTAAAATGCTTTTATCTGTAGGGACCTGAAGGAGACTAAGAAGAGAACAGAAAGTTGTTCTCGATCTCGGTCATTCGCTGGGAAATAGATCTCGGTCATTGGGCACTAATTTCCCCCAAAGGACAGTGATTCTCCGCACCAGAGGTGGATAGTTCAGGTCCAGAAAATGCAAATTCAGACCAGGATTTTCTTTCAACCACCCAGTTGAGTTCTCTGTGACTGTGACTCTTTTTTTCTGAACTGGTGGGTTGAAACAAAACCTTGGTCTGGATTCGTATTATCTGAACCTGAGCTTTCCACCTCTGCACATGGGCAGCTGACAGTCTGATGGGTCAGTGTGTTGGTCGCCTAATTACAGAATCCTCCGTACCGCTGATTGAAGGCAGAGCCGGACTGTGCGGCGTGTTTGGAAAGGGGTAGCAAACACTCTGCAGAGCAAAGGGGGAGATGAGCAGAAGTCGTCTGCGGGCGGGTGGGATTACTGTAAATGTCAACATAATGCCATGTGCCGTGCGTGAAGGTCGGGAGTTCGAGTGGCGTGCAGCGCTCAGGCGTTGATAGATGGCGTACAATCAGTGTTGTGGTGCTTCATGTGTGACTGCTGAACTTGACCAGCTGCAGAGCTGGATCGTAAAGTGATGTCCTGGTCTCTGAGGAGCCCAGCCTGATCCTCATTAAGGGGTCATTACCTTCTACCTGAGTGGTTTATTCTAAAGCACTACAGCTTTTACCGTCCTGTACAGCTGGGTACGGTTATGTATCCCCGTCAGGGCTACATCAGCACATATACGGTACCCTGTAAATGGAGCTTTAGAACATGAAGGTTGCTGGTTCAAGTCCTACTTAGGGTCTAATATGAATCATTCTTGAATAGTTTAGTGTAAGTGCATCCACAGTGGAAATAAATGGCATTGTGAAAGCTGGTAGGATGCACAATACAAGCTAATTAAATCTGAAGGATTTAGCAAGTCTTGATGGGCATTGAAACTGAAAAACTTTAATTTTCTGCAGTCTTGTAGCGACATTGTGCTCCCTTGCAGTTACGTAAGGCAATCAGACATTATATCAAATAGTCACCTGTGCGGTTTTTAGGTTTTAAGGCTTTAATGCTTACAGTTCTGTCTCCAGCATTATACGTTTACAAACCATCAAAACATTTGACTGTAGTGCGCCGGTTTTTTCGTCCCAGGGGTCCTGTTCACACGACCTTTCTAACGCTGCTGAAGTCATTCACACTTCCCGACTTATTTATAGTTACACGGGGCACAGAAACAGCGGCGCAGTCACACTCAGACAGCCGTAGATGCATGGCCACCACGAACGGGGTTGGCTAGGGGGCGCCAGAGCGACTTGCCGACATCCGGACGCGGTTAACTGGATACAGGGTCTGGTGAACTAAACCGACAGCCTTTCTGCAGTACGCTTGAGTGATCCATTATGATTATCCCTATGATTAAGAATTTTCCAGTGAC